GATTAGGCTTAGTGAGCAGGACACGTCAAAAACTTAGATAGGCCCATATCTATGCTTCTTGTGCCATATAGCCAAGTTGTGAATGCAATGGGAAAGTTCTTGAAGGAAATTAAAAGTGCTATTCCAGTGAACACCCAATGATAAGAAAGTGAAACAGCTTTATTGCTGATAGGAAGAAAGTTTTAGTGGTCTGGATAGATAAAAAATTCATAGCCATGAAATTCCCTTAAGCCAAAGCCTAATTCAGAGTAAGACCCTAACTTTCTTGAATTCTATGAAGGCTGAGAGGTGTGAGGAAGCTTCAGAAAAGTTTCTTTTTTTTTTTTTTAAATTTTGTATTGCATTTTAGGTTTTGGGGTGCATGTGCAGAACGTGCAAGACAGTTGCATAGGTGCACACATGGCAGTGTGTTTTGCTTCCTTTCTTCCCTTCACCCACATTGTCATTTTTCCCCAGGCTATCCCTCCCCAGCTCCCCCCCCCCCCCGCTGGCCCTCCCGTTTTCCCAATAGACCCCAGTGTTTAGTACTCCCCTCCCTGTGTCCATGTGTTCTCATTTTTCATCACCCTCCTATGAGTGAGAATATGCGGTATTTCATTTTCTGTTCTTGTGTCAGTTTGCTGAGAATGATGTTCTCCAGATTCATCCATTTTGAAGCTACCAGAGGTTGATTCATGAGGTTTAAGGAAAGGAGGCATCTCTGTAACAAAAATGCAAGGTGAAATAGCAGGTGCTAATATAGAAGCTGCAGCATGTTATTCAAAAGATCTAGGTAGCTAAGGTCATTGATTTGAAAGTGGCTACACTAAAGAACAGATTTTTCAGTGTGTAGAGAAAACAGCCTTCTATTGGAAGAAGATGCCATCTAGGTGTTTCATAGCTAGAGAGGAGAAGTCAATGCCTGGCTTAAAAGGATAGGTGGACTCTTATGTTAGAGATTGATGCAGCTAGTGACTGTTGAACACTCATTTGCCATTCTGAAAAACCTAAGGCCCTTAAGAACTATGCTAAATCTACTCTGTGCTCTATAAATGGAACAGCAAAGCTAGTATAATAGCACATCTGTGTACAGCATGGTTTGCTCACCATTTTAGGCCCACTGTTGAGACCTACTGCTGAGAAAATAAGATTTCTTTCAAAATATTACTGATATTGACAAGGCTTCTGGTCACCCAAGACCTCTGATGGAGATGTACAAGGAGATTAATGTTTTCATGCCTGTTAACACAGCATCTATTCTGCAGCTCCATGTAGAATTTACTCCTTGGATCAAGAAATAATTTTGACTTTCAAGTCTTATTGAGAAATACATTTTGTAAGGCTATAGCTGCCATAGATGGTGATTTCTCTGATGGATCTGGGCAAAGTAAATTGAAAATATTCTGGAAAGGATTCAATTAGAAGGATTCACCATTCAAGATGCCATTAGGAATATTTGTGATTCATTGCAGGAGGTAAAAGTATCAACATTAACAAGAGTTTGGACGAAGTTGATTCCAACTCTCATTGGATGTCTTCGATGGGTTCCAGACTTCAGTGGAGGAGGTAATGGCAGATGTGAAAATAGTAAGAGAACTAGAATTAGAACCCAGATATGTGATTGAATTGCTGCAACCTCATGATAAAACTCAAATGGATACAGAGTTGCTTATGGATGAGCAAAGAATGTTCCTTTCTTGGTTGGGTGGGGTAGCTCACTTTTGTAATCCCAGCACTTTGGGAGGCTGAGGCATGAAGATTGCTTGTGTCCAGGAATTCAAGACCAGCCTAGACAACATAGAGTGAGACCCTGTCTCTTCAAAAAATAAACAATTAGCTGGGTCTGGTGGCATGTGCCTGTAGTCCCAGCTACTTGAGAGAGGTAGAAGGATTGCTTGAGCCTAGGAGGTTGAGGCTGCAGTGAGCCTTGATCACACCACTGCACTCTGGATGACAGAGCAAGACCCTGTCTCAAAGTTTTTGGAGATGGACATTACTCCCTGTTGAAGAGGCTGTGAACATTGTTGAGATGGAGATTTAGAATATTACATAGACTTAATTGATAAAGCAGTGGCAGAGTTTGAGAAGGATGACTCCAGTTTTGAAAGAGGTTCTGTGGGTAAGATGCTATCAGACAGCATTTCCTGCTACAGAGAAATGAAGAGTCAATCAATGCAACAAACGTCATTGTCTTATTTTAAGAAATCTCTCAGCCACCCCAACCATCAGCAACCACCAGTTGCTAATCAGCCAGCAACATCAAGGCAAGACCCTCCATCAGCAAAAATTACAACTTACTGAAGGCTCAGATAGTCATTAGCACTATTTAACAATGAAGTATTTCTAAATTAAGGTGTATACAGTTTTGAGATATGCTTTTGCACACAGTACAATATAGTATAAACATAACTTTGCACCGGGAAACCAACAAAATTGATGTGACTCATTTTATTGCAATATTTACTTTATTGCAGTGGTCTGGCACCAAGTGTACAGTATCTCCGAGGTATGACTGTACATGCAGACCTGTGGAAGATGAAGTAATCTTGCAGTCTAGTTCTTTGTGGATATTTGTTTTGCTTATTTGGAGAGGGGAGGAGGAGCAGTGATAAAAACTGGTAAACATTCAGTTCAGGCAAACTATCTTAGTGTTGTCTAAAGATGAAGGAAGAATCATCTGATGGAATAGAAATAACTCACTACTGCTTTCTATTTCAACTAACATTTGAACTAAACACAGCAAAGGAGGAGGAACTCAAAAGGCTCTAATGATGCTCTCTTTAAAGCTTTACCTTGCTCTAGTGTAAAACTTGGTAAGTTTCTCTCACTTTCATTCCATTGCTGTTAACATTTGTCCAAGTGAAAGGTAAGTACAAAGGCATAAAGGCAGGAAGTACATAATGTACCCTACTGTGGGTAGTCTCAGTTGAATTTCAGGGTCAAGTGGCAGAGACAAGGCAGACTACTAAATAAAGCACTTACTTTGCACAGTTAAAAACATGATTATTTTATTATTTGCCAATATGTTCTGATGAAATTCATATAATTTTCTCATATCCTAAGTGTAGTTTTTAGGTGATACAAAAAGTACAGTGAAAAAAATTACCTGTTACGTATAAGGGAGGCAACATAGATCCACACAGACAAAACATTTTTGGGGTATGGGTGTATGTATACCGCTAAAGCAAATTCAACATTAGGAACATCAGTATTATGTACTCCAGTACTATACACAGCGTCAATTAAAGGCTTCACTTCAGAATAAGGCATGTGAAGAGGAAATCCAGAGAACTGAAGGGAAAAAAACATTTGTAGTCATTAGTGAAGTTTGAAGATTTAATACATTTTTTCTTAAAATAAGTCTTCTGGATTTCAGTTATTGTGTTTTTCTACTCAGCTGTTTATTAGCAATACAGAAAATAGAGTTGCTTAATATCCATTTTGTTTTCCTTGCTAGCATATAGGTGTATAAGCCACCTGTTAGTCACCCCATCACTGTTCCCTTCCCTCTTTTTGATAGTACTTAGTATGCATAGTAACCCATGTAATTCCAGTGACCTAGGTACCTAAGTTAAACTAACCAATACATTTCTTTTTTCTTTTTCTTTTTTTTTGAGACAGGTCTCACTTTGTTGTCCATGTTAGAGTACAGTGGCATGATCGTGGTTCACTGCAGCCTTGGCCTCCTGCTGGCCTCAAATGGTCCCCCAACTTTAGCCTCCTGAAAAGCTGGAATTGCAGGCAAGCACCACCATGCCTGGCTACTTTTTGTATTTTTTGTAGAGACGGGGTTTTGCCATGGTGCCCCGGTTGGTCTTGAACTCCTGGGCTCAACTGATCCACCTGCCTCAGCCTCCCAAAGTGCTGGGGTTACAGGTGTGAGCCATGGTGCCCAACAATAATTTTTGTTCCCTTGGCTACAATGATTGATCCACAGGGATGGGCAAGTGATTAAAGGGAGTCTCCGAGTGAGTCTTGGGAAATTAGGAATAATGGCACATGATATTCTCCTGCTTTGGATGTGTGTGCAGATGTAAGGTATGGAAGTGTTCCAGCATTTGCTTCCATGCGGAAACCTAGTGTCAGGATGATGCCATCATGTGGAGGGGAAGGGCAGAATGGGAAGACTTGCGGAAGAGTGGGACAGCCCTGATAGCTACCTTCTAAGCTTTATTTAAGCCAGTACATTCTCTATTGCTCAAGCCTGTTTGAGTTTTCAGATATTTGAACTAAAAATATCCTGGCTGAGAAAGTGCCTTTTAAGTTAAAGGATAAATTTTACTTAGTGAATGATCTAATTTGACCTTCACACTGTTTAGCTAACTATTAAGTCTTAGGAGCGTGCTTTCTAGGTTTTATCATCCAGTTATAGCATGTGAACATATAGCACGACCAGCAGGCAGTAGAGAGGGGTATATAATCTATTAATAACCACCTTCCTTAGCAATGAAAAACAATCAGTGTAAAACAATATCCTTAAAAAACTGCTCTAGGATGTTTTCATCTTTATGCACAGTTGAGTCTAACATGATTTAGCCAGATATTTTCATTTTATTGGATACTTAAATGTATTTCATAAAAGGTATTTTTCATGGGATATTTTTATACAAAATGGTGGTATTTTGCTATTTAGTGATTAACTATTGAGGTTTAAAACTTACAGTCACTGTTTTTAGTTTATGCTGCTTTAAATATGTACTTCTGGGAGAAACATAGGTCTTTTGATTCTGGAAATGTATTATTGGCTAATTTTCATTTTGACACAAGGAAATCCACAGTTAGTTTAGGATCCATTTGTAACATACCCTGTAGTCTCCCAGCTGTTTTAGCAGTTCTGCTCTGTGGTCATCTTCTACATCTTCTCCGTGACTTTTTTCTAACAGAGGCAAGAAATGACGCAGAGTAGAAGTACAATACCTATTCCACCGAGTCAGATGGCGTGGCCTCCAGTCCATGATTTTTTCTTTTAGTATTTTTTCAATCCTTGTCACAAAACATAAACTCATTTGTTGACACTCACTTTTCCCTTGTTAAAAAAATATATAGTGGGGATTCAGATGATTGTATAACTACATTTTTTGCTGATGGAGTTGTCATTCTCCAGGCATAATGTCTCATAATAGGCTGCCCCTGGGGATTCAAAATTAACATGAAATCCTGTCCTTCAAGGCTGTATATGAATTGACATGGGAAATAGGCCTATAAATGGAAAGTATGTTTATTCTAAGAGCCATAACAGATGCTTGAAATGTAACAGAAGGGAGCACTGAATGACTTGGGGATAGCTAGATTCAATACATGCAGCAAAAGTTTATTATTAATTTTTTTTAAAGGCAGGGTCTTGCTTTGTTGCCTAGGCTGGAGTGTAGTGGTACAATCACAGCTCACTGCAGCCTCAACCTCCTGGGCTCAAGTGATCCTCCCACCTCAGCCTCCCTGGTAGCTGGGACCACAGGTGCACACCACTATGCCTGGCTAATTTCTTTTCTTTTTTGTAGAGACAAGGTCTTGCTATGTTGCCCAGGCTGTTTTCAAACTCCTAGGCTCAAGTGATCCTCTTGCCTTGGCCTGCCAAAGTGTTGAGATTATAGGTGTGAGCCACTGTGCCTGGCCATGAACTATTTTTTGAAATGTTTTATAACTATACTCATTGATAGCATATATACAGACAGATGAATTAGACATAGGCATAAGAAGTGGGGCTTATGTTGAAAACCTCAAATATTTGTGGAGCTGTTAGTGCCTCGTGATTTATTCACATCATGAACAGTGAATTCTATTTATGATGATGGAATTTTTTTCTAAATTGCCTTAAAACTGCCTTTAAAATACCAACATCATTGAAACTTTATTTGTGATAAGTACGGGTATTGGGTTCATAGAGTGTAAAGTTTAAGCATAGAATGAAGGAAAATAGCTACCATTATTGAGCCACTTACCAGATACTGTGGTAAGTGCTTTCTGTACATTTTTATTTAATCTCAATAACCTTGTGAGGTAGAGGATATTGTCCTGTTTTTACAGATGAGGGGACAGTTTGAGGCAGGATAAGTGATTTGACCAAGGCAAAAGAGCTGGGATTCAATGGAAACCGTGCTGATTCTAAAGCCTCTTGTACATTCCCTAACTAAATGCATGGGTTTAGAGACCTAGCTAGCTTCTCATTGTTCAATAATCATAGGGACCATTTGTTTTTTGGCACTTAGCACATCTTTGTTTTGGGTTTCAAAATGGTCTGCACAAGAAAGGACGAATTGTCAAGCACTTATATTTCTCCAATATAAATGACAATATATAAATTCATCAATTAGTCAATATTAAACAAAAAGGTTGTTTGGAGATTCGTTCTAGATAGGGATCTTGAATAAGGCTTTATGGAGAAATTGAGAGTAAACTGATATTTTCTAGTAATTATGCCTCAAGAGGTGTCACACAGCTTAATACAGTAGAAACAGCACACACATCTTGAAATCAGAGAGATTGGGCTGGACTCAGAAGCACCCTGTAACACTTAAACAAGTATGTCAACCTCTCAATCTCAGTTTTCACATTGTGAAACTAGGAGAATAAGTTCTCTTTTACAGGGTTATGAGAATTACAGGGACTCGTATAGTCTCTTACCTCCATGTGTTCGGTTCATAAACTAGCTGCAGTTCAATAAGCCACTAATTGGACAAAAAGGGTATATTTAAGCTGAGGATTATGATGTGCCTCAACAAGACCTATAATAACGTGATGTTAAACTCCAATCCGAGGTGAAGTCTCTATAGAAGTACGTATTACTGGTGTTCCACTCTGGTTAGTTCCACAGTGAGCTGATGCTAAAGGCTCCTTCTGAGCCATAGGATTTGGAGATCACATCTGTACTTGGAATCTATATGAATTAAAGTTAAATTGCTAAATTGTTTCACATTCATCCAGGCTGACAGTGCTTTAAAGTTTGGTATTATACTCTTAGTGACAGATTACATATGGATTTATGGATATTATGTTACCTGTCTTGTAGCTCAGCTGCAGCTGCTTTGTCTGAGCGCTGGTAAATTAGCTCTTCGGGCTATAGAAGAGAAAACCGTTCAGAAAGTCTAAAAAATCACCTACAGTTAATTTGAACAGCTGTACATCCTTTTAAAAATCTTTTAAAAAAATGAAATCTCAGATATCAAGATACAGATGATAATATAATGCATGCTGATTTACTCATGACCCACTAGAAGTAAAACATCATAATATAGTGCTGTGTAGTTCTTTCTCAATTTCATTTTTCTTCTCTCTTACCAACAGAAGTAACCATGACCTGAATTTGTTTTAGCATTCCTTCATTAAACAAGTACTGATTGCCTGCTATGTCCTAGGCACTTTTCACAGGTGAGGGGGATAGGGATTTGGCTATGAATAAAAATTCCTGTCTTCATTAATACATTAATGCAATGTGTTTATGATTTTGCTACAGATATATGTACCCCTAAAAAACATTTTATTGTTGTGCATGTTTTTTTAAAGTTTACGTAATAGTTTTATTTTATGAATATGCAATTTGTGCTTTCTCCCTTAACTTTATCTTTAGTGGCAGCAACAAACACTAGAAAGGCCAGGATATAGAAAACTTCTTGAAAAGAAAGATTTCCATAGCTTGGGCTTGGTGACATCAAAATTTATCCTTAGTGGGGAAATATTTATATATATTGATATATAAATAAAATATAATTTATATATAAATAAAATATATATTGATATATAATAATATATTTTGAGATGGAATCTCAAAATATATATATATCAATATATATTTTATTGATATATATATATTTTTTGAGATGGAATCTCAAAATAATATATTTTTTGAGATGGAATCTCACTTGTTGCTAGGCTGGAGTGCAGTGGTGTGATCTCGGCTCACTGCAACCTCCACCTCTTGGGTTCAAGCAATTCTCCTGCCTCAGCCTCCTGAGTAGCTGGGACTACAGGAGGGCACCACTACGCCCAGCTAATTTTTGTATTTTTAGTAGAGACGGGGTTTCAGCATGTTGGCCAAGATGGTCTCAATCTCTTGACCTCGTGATCCGCCTGCCTTGGCCTCCCAAAGTGCTGGGATTACAGGCGTCAGCCTCTGCACCCGGCCAGCAAAGATATATTTTTAGAGGGCTTATTAAGATTCATTAATGCTGACTGTTTTAACTGTAAAATATTCCACCATGTAACATAATTTTTCTTTTCTGTCATTCCAACTCATTGCAATTTCAAGCAGTGTTCCTATTAAAAAGCTTGTATATATCACCTTATATACATATGGGATAATTTCTTTAGGGTAATGGTCTTCAAAGCCTTTTCTGAAAGGTAGATCCAGAGAATAAAATACATTTTATTACAAACCTAGTACACACATACATATATCTATCAAATGAAACAAAAGTTTTAGTAAACTGCTTATGCTTACTACTTAGAATCTACTACTGATCAGGACCCTGTAAGTTAATTTTATGAGCCCCTAATGGATCATACCCTGCAGTTTAATTTGATGTTCCATTATCAGTCATGAAATCTATTTAGTGAATTGAGATCAGCATTTTAAAAAAAATTAGATGGAATATATTTTGTGGTACTTTTTATGTCATGGAACTTTTTATATTAAAACTTTTCTTCCACATATGTGTAAGAGGTGTATACTAATCCTTTCACGTATATATAAACATACATATCTGTACCTTATTGTGAGTTGAGCTCAAATACATTTAATAAACAAATACTGTTCTAGACTACTCAGGAGTGAGTGGAGGTAAGGGCCAAAATATCTTGTAACCCAGTATAATGATTTCCTATCTTTTACTTTGTCTACATTTAATTATTAATAAAAGATTTATACCTGAACACTGGAAAGGCCAGGATATGGGAGGCTTCTTGAAAAGAAAGATTTCCATAGCTTGGGCTTGGTGACATCAAAATTTATCCTTAGTGGAGAATCATATCTCTGAATATTAAACCAAATCTAAGAAAGACAAGACTACATTAGCATATATGTTAGCATATATACATACACTTATGTGTGTGCATGTATGTGTGGTATATAGAGGCAGCAGATAGCAAGTGTTCATACAGGTTGCACACTTTGTCATTTTTTTATTCTAAAAATTGTGCATTTTAGAATCAGTGGCATTATACAGTTGTCACTGGCCATTTTTTCACATTTTTTATCTGACGTTGGGGTGCACCTTAGTGTTGACTGTAGATTTGATAAAGTGAGGTTGTTTTTTATTATGAAAACCAAAGCCACTTCTTTCTTAGGCTAGATTTTCTTGACCCTTCTCTTCCCAGCCTCCTAATTGAATAGAGTGTCCGTCCATTCATCTCTTTGCATCCAGAGCAACCTGCAGTCTCTGAGATAGCCCTTGTCTTGGTGAGGCAGCGTAGCATGTTGGTTCTGGAACCAGACCACTATCATTTGAATTTTGACTCCAACATTTCCTACTTGTGTGACCTTGATTTATGTAACGTGTGCCTCAGTTTCCTTCTCTATAAAAGTGGGATAATAATAGTATTTACCTCATAAGGTTGAGTTGGTTCAGTAAATTAATTAATCTGTACCTCTTAGAAAAATGCCTGGAATGTAGTAAATGCTCAATAATTGTTAGCTATTTGAAAATGATTATTAGCATTGTTTATAATTGTCTGTCTATTCGTGTCCACACTAGGCTATCAGACTTTGTCCTGAGGACATTCACTATGTGCCTTATTTACCATTGTATCTTTAGCACCTAGCATAGCTCCTGACATACAGTGGCCATACTGAATAACTATGTACATGAATTTGTCCATTCAGTATACTTATCAACTACCTTCTAGGTTCAGGCTCAGTTCTAAATACTGGGGATAAAGTAGTGAATGAAACAGAGTTTCTACCCTTATGAAGTATCTAGTAAGAAAAGATAGCAAATAAATAAGTAAATAGGCAGGCACTGAGGCTCACACTCATAATCCCAGGACTTTGGGAAGCCAAAGTAGAAGGATAACCTGAAGCCAGTAGTTCAAGACCAGTCTGGAAAACATAGTGAGACCCCCATCTCTGAAAAAAACTTTTTTTAAAAGAAGTAGCCAGGTGTAGTGGTGCATGCTTATAGTCTTAGATGCTTGAGAGGCTGAGGTGGGAGGATTGCATGAGCCCAGGATTTCAAGGCTCCAGTGAACTGTGGTCACACCAGTGCACTCCAGCCTGGATGACGGAGCAAGAGCCTGTCTAAAACAACAGCAACAAAAAACAAGTAAAAACATGGGATGTCAGATGATGCTATGATGTGGTAAATTGTATTATTAGCCCCAATTCTGCACTCCTTTCTATATGCATACCTTTTCTCACATTACTTTGCAGTTCCTTCCACTAAAAGAGAAGAGATACACTTTTGCATTCCTTGACTTGTGGCCAATGGACTGGGAAAGAAGTCATTGTATGGCTTCTGAGTCTATGCTTAAGAGGCTTTGTGTGTTTCTGCTTGTTCTTTTGTGCCTCTGCCATTGTCATTGCCCCGCATCCCAGAATAAACACACATGAAGCTGAGCTGTCCCAGTTCATTCACAGATCTACTGTGAGAAGCAGAGCTTGTCTTGCAACACAACTTGCAGGGAGTTGCTCAGCCTCGATTAGCAGAACCTCCCCAGCTGACTCACAGATCCCTGAGAATAAATGTTTGAAGCCATTTAATTTGGGGGTGAGTTTTTACTATCTTTATTGTGGCAATAGTTAATTGTGCAAGGGCTATGGAGAAAACAAAAATGGAACATTTTAAGGCAGGCAGGGAAGTTCTAACTGGAAAAATGACTTAATCAGAAATGCAAGAAGTGAGGGAGAAATCTATGATGATATCCAGTAAGGGGCAGTGGTCATTTATGCGTAGGAAACAGCAAATGTAAAGTGTGCTTTGGTATGTTTGAGGAATAGCAAGGAATATGAAGTACTTTGAAATAATGAGCAAGCTGAGGAGAGCAAGTAAGAGATGACATTATCAGAGGAAGTGGGAGAGAGGTGGGTAGGGTGGGTGTCAGATCATGGAGGTGGGCCATTTTGAAGATTTAGGCTGTGACTCAAGTGAGATAGGAAGTCATTGGAGTATCTACTGGGTAGAGGAATGGCATAAGTTGTCTTTCATTTTAACAGGAATTTTCTTTGCTGTTTTGAGACTAGATAAAAGAAGGTAGGGTCAAATGGTGAAGCATTCAGTTAGGATGCTTATTTTGAATAATCTAGGTGAGAGGTACAGGGACTTCAACAAACATGGTAGCAGTAAAAGTGGATAGATGTGGTTGGACTCTGGGTATACTGTGAAGGTAGAGCCAGTAGGATTTGGTGATGGTTTGGATGTAAGAGAGAGAGAAATCAAAGGTGACTAAGGATGTTGGCCTTAATAATTGGACTGATGGAATTGACATTTATTGAGATGGGAAAGACTGCAAAGGGGAATCAGGAGTTCAAGTTTGGGCATCTGAAGTTTGAGATGTCTGTCTGACATCCAAATGAAGATGATGAGTAGGCGATAGGATATTTGAGTCTAAAGTTCTAGGGAGCTAGGTGAGCTAGAGGTATAAACTTGGGAATCATTGGCATATATATGGTGTTCTCTGGGAGGAAGTATAGCTAGAAAAGAGATTTGAATTTTGAGGATCTCGAATGTTTCAAATTTGGAGAATATAGAAAAAGTGGCAAAGAGTATAGAGAAGTAGAAGCTAATAAGGTAGGAGGACTTGACTTGGAATCCAAATCAGAAAATTGGCTTAAGATAAGATTTTTAAGAACTACAATTTGGGCTGGGCACGGTGGCTCATGCCTGTAATCCCAGCACTTTGGGAGGCCAAGGCGGGTGGATCATGAGGTCAAGAGATCAAGAAAGAGTATAGAGAAGTAGAAGCTAATAAGGTAGGAGGACTTGACTTGGAATCCAAATCAGAAAATTGGCTTAAGATAAGATTTTTAAGAACTACAATTTGGGCTGGGTACGGTGGCTCATGCCTGTAATCCCAGCACTTTGGGAGGCCAAGGCGGGTGGATCACGAGGTCAAGAGATCAAGATCATCCTGGTCAACATGGTGAAACCCCGTCTCTACTAAAATACAAAAAATTACCTGGGCATCATAGCGCATGCCTGTAATCCCAGCTACTCAGGAGGCTGAGGCAAGAGAATTGCCTGAACCCAGGAGGCGGAGGTTGCGGTGAGCCGAGATCATGCTATTGCACTCCAGCCTGGGTAACGAGCAAAACTCGGTCTCAAAAAAAAAAAAAGAAATACAATTTGGTATAGAGTAGGGTATGTTTAGAAAAGTAGTCGGAAATTGCATTTTTAGGGCTTTGAAATCCAGGGTGTAAAGTTTACTCTTAAGTCTGTGCAGTGAAGTCTCCCTAATACTTTCTGAGTCAGCAGATGATGAAAGCTGGACATTAAGAAGCTTAATCAGGCATCATTGTATCAAAAAGTGAACTCAATTGGGGATACTATTTAGTTGGTCATTTATAGAAATGCAGGGCAAAACAATAATGGCATGACGTGGGAATTAGCCGAGATAGCATCTGTATGATTTTACATTTATAATTTAAGATTGAAGTAGAATGAAGTTTAAGAGAGAGGGGAACTCAAGAACAATTCTAGGGTTTAAATCAGGGTAAGTCATATCCATAGAAATAGGAAGCCAGGAAGGGGAGTTGGTTTTGGGGGAAATGATTTGAGTTTTGCATATGCTGTGTTTGGGATTTTGATAAAACACCTGGGTGTCTAGTAAACAGTTGAAAATTCAAGACAAAGTTTCTGAGACTGGCTACAGAATTATGACTTCTCTACCAGGATAGACTACATAAAGTCACAATTAATAATAATAGGTGTGGCCCTAGAAGAAATCTAAATATAGAGTCTTTAGAAACTTCCATTTTTAAGGGTTTGGAAGAAGAGCCAGTGAAAGAAACCTAAGAAACAACTGTAGTGATGAAGACCAAATTTCCTTTATCAGTAAACTATGGACGAAGAAAGTGTTTTTTTGTGAAGAAAATTAGTCATGAGTTTTGTGTCAATTGACAGAAAAGGAGAGGAGTGAAAATGAGAAGAAGCCATTGGATATATTTATTCGATAGTAAGACAATGGTGCTTCTCAGAGTTTAATTTCTGCAGTATGGTCAGGAAAGGAGAGCTAGATTATAGTAGGTTAAGGTCTGAGTGTGCTCAGAAAGTGAAAGCAAGAGATACAACTAGTATTTGAAGAACTTGGGGAGGAAAGGAAAGAGAGGCAATGTAGTTTTGGGTGCAGCCAGGTTGGGAAAAGTGTATTTCAGAATTGTTGTACCCCTGAGCATATCAATAGATAGAGAAGGAGAGAGAAAAAATAGAGGAGCTATTTGGATGGATTAGTGGAGCATGGAATGGGAATGGAAACAAGTACAGGGGAAAAGGAAGAGACTTATTTCTTGGAAAAGGAATGACAGGAGGAGAAAGACTTCTAGAGAAGTTGTGTGGTAGAGTAGAGAGCAGCCGAGGTTTCAAAATGCCAGGCCAACAAAGCCAGGAGGAGGTCCTCTGCTGAGTGGCCAAGGCTTAGAGCAGGTTTAGAAGAGCTTTGATAGGGGTTGCACACCATCATAAGCCTCTATTACCCATCTCAGAGAAGAGGAGAAAAGAGTGTTCTTTCATCCTCACAAAACTTTAGCTTTATCAGAATTAGTCAACCATACAGTAATTGTTTTGAGTGCCGGTAATAATTTTTACAGATAATGGAATTACTTGAAGGCTTTTCCAGTGCCTATTAAACCTACTTGATTATTAATGACCTTAAAATGATCCTCTAAATGTAGATGAGGCTTAGCAGATCACTTTTGATTATGATAATGACTTTAATTAAAAATAATAATTAACATAGGAACAATGTTCCACATTGCTCTTTACATTTGTAATTAATAGTGCTGTAGTTGCCATTTGCTGAACACTTAGGAAGCATAGATGTTTTGCTGGGTGCTTGAAATATATTAGCTCTAAATTTTAGCAGTTACTCTGAAAAAATGGACTGATGCTCTTCAGAGAAGGGTGCATAACCCAGGAGTATGGAAAGAAAAAATTAGATGTTCTAATTATTTCTTTTTATGTTTAAAGTAGTTTTTGGTATAACTTAAATAACATTGGTACAAAAATAAATAAAATTCATAAAAATATACATGCTGGGGCCAGGCACAGTGGCTTATGCCTATAATCCCAGCACTTTGGGAGGCCAAGGCAGGTGGATCACGAGGTCAAGAGATCGAGACCATCCTGGTCAACAAGGTGAAACCCCTTCTCTACTAAAAATACAAAAATTAGCTGGGCATGGTGGTACGTGCCTGTAGTCCCAGCTACTCGGGAGGCTGAGGCAGGAGAATTGCTTGAACCTGGGAGGCGGAGGTTGCAGTGAGCTAAGATCGTGCCATTGCACTCCAGTCTGGGTAACAACAGCGAAACTCCGTCTCAAAAAAAAAAATATACACACACACACACACACACACACACACACACATACACATACACATATACATGTTGGGATGCATGTACAAACAGTTTTTATAGACAGAAGCACAAAGTTCAGAGACTGCTAAAGTAAATGATTATGAAAACAATCATTCAATAATTTGCTGAGTGCAGTGGCTCACGTCTGTAATCCCAGCACTTTGGGAGGCCAAGACAGGTGAATCACTTGAGGACAGGAATTCGTGATGTGCCTGGCCAACATGGTGAAACCCCATCTCTACTAAAAAAAACAAAAATTACCCGGACATGGTGGCACGTGCCTGTGGTCCAAGCTACTCAGGAGGCTGAGGCAGGAGAATCACTTGAACGCAGGATGTGGTGGTTGCAGTGAGCCGAGATGGCACCACTGCACTCCAGCCTAGGCAACAGATTGAGACTCTATCTCAAAAAAAATAATTAAAAATAAAGAGTTGTTACTCTGTTAGGTGCTTAACATTAATTTTTTCATTCACTTCTCATAACTACTCTATAAGAAATAATAATTAAAAATAATTGAAGAGTTGTTACCCTGTTAGGTACTTAACGTTAATTAGCTCATTCACTTCTCACAACTACTCTATAAAGTAATGACTTTACTATTATCTTTATTTTACCAATGAAGAAGCTGAAGCTGTAAGAGACTGACTTTCCCGAGCTCACAGAACTATAGTAAATGATAAAATTGGAGTTTAAACTGAGGCAGTCTGATCCCATAACTCGTTTTTTCTTTTTCTTTTTTTTTTTTTTTGAGACCGAGTCTTGCTCTGTTGCCCAGAATGGAATGCAGTGGCAACATCTCAGCTCACTGCAACCCCCACCTCCTGGGTTCAATCAATTCTTCTCCCTCAGCCTCCCAAGTAGCTTGGATTACAGAGGCATACCAGCTAATTTTTGTAGTTTTAGTAGTGATGGGGTTCTCCATGTTGCCCAAGCTGGTCTCGAATTCCTGACCTCAGGTGATCCATCCACCTTAGCCTCCCAAAGTGCTACCGGCATGAGCCACCGTGCCTGGCTCCATAACTTATATTTTTAACCACTACTTTAATTAGTACCCTTTACAATGAAATCAAACAGCCCTTAAAACTGGCTGCAACCAGAATTACCTGGGGATATTACAGGTCAGGTGATACCTAGGAATCTCCCTTGAAAAAAGAAAGAGGAGAGAGATTCAAGATGGCTGATTACTAGCAGCTCAGGATTGTAGCTCCCAGTGAAAGCGCAGAGAACAAGAGGACGCCACACTTTCAGATGAATTTTTGTTGCTCATGGACCAGGACATTCCTAGTGCAGGAGCTCCACAGGTCGCCAGCACAACTCTTGTGGCTGGTATCTCGGCATGGTGGATCTTGGTGCAGAGTAAACGGGACTGGATCCCCTTTTGGTTGACATTTGGAGCTCTGGGAAGGCAGAGTTGCCTATTCAGTTGATTGAAAAAGGGACTCAAGAAGGAAGCCAGACCGGAGATTCCCGGGTAGAAAAGCACAACGAATCTTAATGCAGCTGTTTTAGCTGGTGCAGTGGGTTGCTCAGATTCCGGCACTGGGAATCAACAAGTTGGACGTCCACTCAGAGACCTAATTTGAAAGTCAGTAATTACAAAGATGACAGGTGGATAAATTTACAATTATGGGAATAAACCAGCATAAAAAAGCTGAGAATACCCAAAATCAGAATGCCTCTCCCTCTACAGGGGATCACAGTTCCTCATCAACAAGGGAAGAAGGCCTGATAGAGAATGAGTGCATTCCATTAACAGAATTAGGCTTCAGAAGGTGGATAATAAGAAACTTCTGTGAGTTAAAAGAATATGTTCTAGCCCAATGTAAAGAAACTAAGAACCTTGAAAAAAGGTTTGATGAAATCCTAATGAGAATAGACAATCTAGAGAGGAATATAAGTGAATTAATGGAACTGAAGGATACAATACGAGAACTCTGCGAACTATGCACAGGTTTTAACAGTCGAGTTGATCAAGCAGAAGAAAGGATATTAGAGGTTGAAGACAAATTTAATGAAATGAGAAGACAAGATAGAGAAGAGTAAAAAGGAATGAGCAAAGTCTCCCAAGAAATATGGGACTATGTGAAAAGACCTAATTTACGTTTGATAGGTGTACCTGAATGTCATGAAGAGAATGAATCCAAGCTGGAAAATATTCTTCAGGATATTATTCAGGAAAACTTTCCTAACCTAGTAAGGCAGGACAATATTCAACTCCAGGTAATACAGAGAACACCACAAAGATATTCCTCAAGTAGAGCAACCCCAAGACACATAATCATTAGATTCACCAGGGTTGAAATAAAGGAGAAAATTTTAAAGGCAGCTAGAGAGAAAGGTCAGGTTACCCATAAAGGGAAGCCTATCAGACTCACAGCAGATCTCTCAGCAGAAACCCTACAAACTAGAAGAGAGTGGGGGTCAATATTCAATATCCTCAAAGAAAAGAATTTTCAACCCAGAATATCATATCCAGCCAAATTAGGCTTCATAAATGAAGGAAAAATAAAATTTTTCACGAACAAGCAAGCACTCAGAGATTTCATCACCACCAGGCCTGCTTTACAAGAGCTTCTGAAAAAAAAGCACTACACACAGAAAGGAACAACCAGTATCAGTCATCCCAAAAACTTACCAAAAGGTAAAGAGTATCTCCATAATAAAGAATCTATATCAACTAATGGGCAAAATGGCCGGCTAGCATTAAATGACAATATTAAACTCACAAATATTAATATTAATCCTAAATTTAAATGGATTAAATGCCCCATTCAAAGACACAGACAGGCAAATTGAATAAAAAGTCAAAACCCATCGCTACACTGCATCCAGATCCATCTCATAAGCAACAACACACAGACTCAAAACAAAGCTTTGGTGGAACACTTACCAATCAAATGGAGAGAAAAAAAAGAAAAAGAAAGAAAGAAAAAAAAAACCAGGAGTTGTAACTTTCATCTCTTGACAAAATAGACTTTAATAGTAACAAAGACTAAAAGAAACAAGGACATTACATAATGGTGAAAGGATCGATGCAACAACAGGAGTCAATGATCATAAATATATATGCACCCAATATAGGAACACCCAAATATATAAGACAAGCTCTTAATGACTTATAAAGAGACTTGGACTCCCACACAATAATAGTAGGAGATTTTGACACCACATTGTTAATATTTGACAGATCAACGGGATAGAAAATTAACAGGGACATCTATGATTTGAACTCAGACCTGGAACAAGTAAACTCAGTGAATATTTATAGAATTCGTCACCCCAGGTCCACAGAACATAGATTTTTCTCAGTATCACATTACACGTATTTTGAAAGTGACCATATAATTGGAAGTAAATCACTCTTCAGTATTTGCATAGCATTTCACAGACTTAAACGAAATATTGGTTGGCTGTTTGTTATTTTCTTCCCTTATTCCTTCCTGTCTCCACGGTTAAGCACAATTATTGGCATAAAAGAGGTTTTTAATACCGATTTTTAGATTGCATTCCAGTCTGGGCAATAGAGCAAGACTCCTGTTTTCTCTCCCCCTTTCTGTTTCTTTAAAAAAAAAGCCATTGGGGTCAGAGTTGGCAGATTTGAAAAACAAAATTGTAGGCTGTCTGGATGAATTTGAACTTCAGAGTCCCTGGCAGTCAGCGAAGCTGCAGACATTGTAGACCCCTTTAGAAAAAAGAAAAAAGAAAGAAAGAAAGAAAGAAAGAGACAGAGACAGAGAAACCCAATCTGCTTAGGTGACAAATTTGCCTCAGTTCTTAAAACACTGAGTTAGACATTGTAAACTCTATTTTGGGTGAGAAAACTTAAGGACAGACCCAGGACACAAACTCTGGTCCTCTGAATCTAAATCCTGTATTTCTTTATTACTGTATTTTGTCATTCCGCTTCTCAGGCAGATCAGGGACTAACTGAACCGAAGTTTTGTTTAGCACAGTCTGCCACTGTGCTTGACACTGAATTTCTTTAATTGGTGTGTGTATATGCGTGTGTGTGTGTGTGTGTGTGTGTATTCATTTATATAAATATTTTGGATACATAAAATATTAATAGGTTATTTTAAAAAGGAAACATCCATCAATTAACCATCTAAGAAGAAATGTTAATACTTACATTATCAGGACCTATTAAACAGCCCACATTTTTCAAGGGACAGAATGTATCAAATTGTCCATAAAAATGTCCACTGCAGGGATTCCATATTAAATAATGACCTTGCTCCCAGGTTAGCACATAGGCAGTTGGACCCTGAAAGAAAATGGCTATTAAAATGCAATACTAGCTTGCACAGACAATTCATTATTTTTGCTTGGACCCCTAATTATTGAAATTTCATGGTTAATGGTGAAAACTACTTTGAAGTTCTAGGTTATGCTAAATTTAAAAAATAAAGATGAATGCTTAGTTTTGCAAAATTCTTGCATCTGGTACTAGTGCCATGACCAAATAAGGATAGTCATTATCTTACCCAACCAATATATCTTAGGATTGGCTGAATAACTATTATTAGTGAAAATAAGCAGTCACTGGTGTTTTCTTCTTAGAGTCAGTAAGACTGCCATTTAAGTCTATAGAAGGCTGATTATGTCTGAATAGAAATATTTGTTTCTAATATAGTAACTTACATTTTACAATGTAAGTGCATAGTAGATTTGAAAGGATATGTACCAAACAGTTAAGAATGACTGTACCTGGGGAGGGGAGTAGAACTGGGGGTTAGAGAAATAGAAGTTCCTTGTCAAGGTATTCTGGGTTTTCTGAAAAGGGACTCTACTTTTTTACACAGAATACTTATGTATTGTTAGGTTCTATATTTACAATGAGAATTCATTCATTTGTTTTCCCTGTATAATTTTACTTGATGCTCACAACAGTTTTCTGGGGAAGGCAGGGCAGAAATTATCCCAGTTTCCTGTAAAACCCAGAGTTGTGCAGTGACCTACTTAGTGTTACACAGCTAATGATAATCAGGCACAGAACCTAGAACTTCAGCCTCATGACTTCCTAGCCCAGTGTTCTTTTCCTGGGACCAGGCTATCTGGTAGATAATGATGGAGACTTAATTTGAACATGAATATGATACTACTTTATTACCTGCCTTGCAGCAACTCAAATTTCTAAGGAGTCCTAGACCCTTGTGGCCTCTTTTTAATACCCTCTTTGGCTGGGTGTGGTGGCTCACACCTATAATCCCAGCACTTTGGGAGGCTGAGGCAGGTGGATGACCTGAGGTCAGGAGTTCGAGACCAGCCTGACCAACAAGGAGAAACCCCGTCTCTACTAAAAATACAAAAAATTAGCCAGGTGTGGTGGTGCATGCCTGTAATTTCAGCTACTCCAGAGGCTGAGACTGGAGAATTGCTTGAACCCAGGAGGCGGAGGTTGCAGTGAGCTGAGATTGCACCATTGCACTCCAGCCTGGGCATCAAGAGCGAAACTCTGTCACGAAAAAAGAAAGAACAAAAACCAAAAACCTCTTTGGATAAACTGCTGTAATCCATGTGAATTTTCTAAACTTACCTATTGTATCCCAAATTTAGGGATATTTATAGTGGGCTAGGGAAAAATTCTAATAGTCTCCAATCTAATAAAAATAAAAATGTTAATATAAAAATAAAGCTGCTAACATTCTTTTTCATTCTTCCTTATCTGGCTTATTCTCCTTTGCCTGCCAGGTCAGCAGCAGATACTTGTAGAAGCAGCAGGCATGAAAGGAGAGATCTCTAACCTTAGCACCTTCCTTTGGATCCTCTTCATTGCAAAGCATGAAGATCATTAGGGGAATCTGAATGCTTGGGAACAAAGCTGGAAAGAGGCCCAAAATTAAAAGGACAGAGCGAGGTGGGGATTTTTGATGGTAAAGGGTCTGGGTTTGCCAAAAAAAAAAATCTCAAATGTTGCATAGGGCCCTGAGGAACACTGAAAACCATTTCATGTCTTATCTGGTAGTTCTCTCTGCTGTTATGGCATCTCTGGGCCACTTTCCTAGGAACCCAAAGGATCATTATGAAAATATGTCCTGTCTGTGATCTAGAACGTACAACTGAATTAAACAATCATGTTCCTCTGTTAAAGCCAGCCTACATGGTCTTACCTCAGGAATAGCATTGCCCATCACCAGCCAGGCCTTCTTACCCAGAGACAGAAAGTAATTACACAGTAGTACTGCATGTTCTTCTTCATCTCCTGCCAGGAGATCAAGAAATTGCTGACCAAAAGAAAAAAAGTATGTCATATTAACTGAATACTTTACTCTGGATTTGCTTGGCAGGATTCTAATATGTCATAGTTGAGATTAGTGCCTTGAAGTGTAAGACCTATAATCTTTCCCCAAATTTTGATAGTATATTGATAATTCATTTTTTAAAATAAACCACTTTTAGTGGACATGGTGTTTTCTCTGACATTGATGATATGGATTTCTAGAATCAATAGTCATTATGATGGTGGTAGGGTTGGGGAGATAAATTTCAAAGTTTCATTTTTATTTTTAATGTATATATGATAGTTCATTATATGCTAAACAATCATTACTCCATTAAACTCATTTAATTCTAGAACAACCCTTTCAGGAAGGTATACTCCTATTTGTTCATTTTATAGACGAGGAAATGGAGGTACAGATTAATAAATTAACACTTAGGAAGTAGTAAAGCCAGTCTAGCTCTAGAGCAAATGTCCCCAGTTCCCAGGCCATGGACTAGTACCAGTCTGTGGCCTGTTAGGAACTGGGCTGCCCAGTAGGAGGTGAGCGGCAGGCAAACAAACATTACCACTTGCCTCTTGCCAGATCAGTGGTGGCATTAGATTCTCATAGGAGTACAATATAAATTATGAGGGCAGAGACTATGTTTATTCCGCTTATAGCCAGAATTTAATATAGCATCTGATATGTGGTAAGTGAACAAGAAGTACATATTGAATAAATAATGATATGCCATGCCTTACAAAGCCCATAAATTAAGGAATATATGATTTCTAATTATAATATAGAATGTGATTTTGGTATTTTTCATGAACAAAACCAAGAAGTTTTATGGTAATACTGGGAGGGTAAATCAGTGTTACTTTTAAACTTTTTGTGTGAGTAGTTAATTTTTTGTTAACTTCTGAACTTTGGAAAAATTGAACCTGGAAGAAAAAGTACTTCGGAATTTAGCTCATATTACTAAACAGATAGCCAATTAGGTTTTTATGGCTAATGAATGTTGCAATTTAAATTTATGCAAGCCAGTTAGCTAATATTTCATTAAGTCAGCTTAAGTTAGTAAATCTGTGAAGAACTACTTACATCAGATGTGCTCCACAGGTCACAGATACCAGCAAATGAGACAGTGTCAGGCAAGAAGGGAATCAAGGACACATATCGAGCCACCAGTTCCTGTATAATGAAATGGAGCTTTACAAAAAATAATTTCTAATAAAACAGAACACTGCATCCCCTACCTGATTTCTTAAAATAAATCTCAAATGTTACAAACATTTACATGTACAAAATGAAATTAATACTCACTAAATGCTTACTATTGTATTAATATCATTTTCATCTTCACTAAACATCCTATATGGAAGGTTATTATTACCCATTCTTTACAGATGAAGAAACTGTGTCCCTTTGACAAGTTTTTTTTTCTTTTATTTCACAATTCTTTACTTTCTGATATAACAAGACTTTCCAGAATCATCTGGAATTTTCACTTAGCCCAGTCTTGAAAACAGTCATTTCTCTAAGGAGCCCTGGTTGAGAGGGTAATAGTACTTGGGAACCAAGATCTGGACCTCATTGTGGCTATAACTTCTATTTCTGTAATTTCTAAGGAAGTTAATCTTTTAGTAAAAGTTTTGTTTTATGTATACTGACACACAATTGTTCATATTTATGTGTTATGGTGTGATGTTTCAATGTATGGTATACATTGTGTAATGCTGAAATCAAGGTAATTGGCATATCCATCACTTTAAACATGTATTATTTCTTTGGGGTGATAATATTCAAAATCCTGTCTTCTAGTTAGCTGGAAATACACTATACATTATTATTAACTATATGCATCATACTGTGTAATAGAATACCAGAACTCATTCTTCCTAACTGTAACTTTGTTAGGATGTAACTTTGAGAGGATGTTGAACATCCTCTCTCCATCCCCCCTCCTGCCTTCTCTCCTTAGCTTCTAGTAAATACTATTCTACTCTCTATTTTGAGATAAACTTTTTTAGTTTTCACATAGATGTGGGATCATGTGTGTTTGTCTTTCTGTGCCTGGCTTATTTCACTTAACATGCCCTTCAGGTTCACCCATGTTGTCACAAATGACAGAATTTCATTCTGTTTTATGGTTGACTGGCATTCCATTGTGTATATATATATATATATATACCACATTTTCTTTATTCATTCTTCCATAGATGGGTACTTTGCTTGATTCCATATCCTGGCTATTGTGACTAGCACTGCAATAGACGTATGAGTGCAAATACTTCTTCGATATACTGATTTCATTTCCTTTGGATATATACTTAGTAATGGGAGTTTGCCAGATCACACTGTAGTTCTAATTTTAATTTGTGAGGACCTCTATACTGTTTTCTGATAATGGCTGTACTGATTTACATTCCCACCAATTGTGTATAAGAGTTCCTCTTTTTTCGGACTCTTGCCAGCATTTTCATTGTCTTTCTGAAAAAAGTCATTTTAACTGGAGTGAGGTAGTATCTCGTGGTTTTGATTTGCATTTCTCTGATGATTAGCGATGTTGAAATTTTTTTCATATGTTTGTTGGACTTTGTCTTCTTTTGAGAAATATCAATTCAGCTCTTTTGCTGACTTTTAAATCAAACTACTTGGGGTTTTCTGCTATTGAGTTGTTTGAGTTTCTTACATAGTCTAGATTTTAACACCTTGTTAGACACATAGTTTGCAATTACTATCTCCTATTCTGTAGGTTGTCTATTGACTCTGTTGATTGGTTCCTTTGCTATGCAGAAGCTTTTTAGATTGATGTAATCCCATTTGTCTATTTTTGCTTTTGTTGCCTGTGCTTTCGAAGTCTTATAAAAAAAAATCCTCCCCAGTTAAATTTCATAAAGTATTTCCCCATGCTTTCTTTCAGTGGTTTCATAGTTTCAGTTCTTAAATTTAATTCATTAATCCTTTTAAAGTTGGTTTTTGTATATGGTGAGAGATGAGAGCTCTAGTTTTATTCTTCTGCCTGTGGAAATCATTTTTCCAGCACCATTTATTGACCAGACTGTCCTTTTTCCCAATGTGTGTTCTTGGTCCCTTAGTCAAAAATCAGTTTGCTGTAAATGCATGGATTTATTTCTGGGTTTGCTATCCTGTTCCATGGGTCTATATGTGTTTTTAGACTAGTGCCATACTGTTTTAGTTACTACAGTAGTATACTTTGAAGTCAGGTAATGCGATGCTTTCAGTTCTTTGTTCTTTTTCTCAAGGTGTTACATTGGCTATTTGGGATCTTTTGTATTTCCATATGAATTTTAAGATGTTTTTCTATTTCTGTGAAGAATGCCTTGATATTTTGATAGACAGTGCATTGAATCTGTAGATTGCTTTGAGTAATATTGATATTTTAACAATATTAATTCTTCCAATCTGTGAACACAGGATATCTTTCCATTTATTAGTACCTTCCTCAAGTTCTTTCATCAATGTTTGTAATTTTGATTGCAGAGATCTTTCACCTTGTTGATGTAATTTATCCTTAAGTATCTTATAAATTTATGTAGCTGTTGTATATGGGATTACTTCCTGATTTTTTTCCAGCTAGTTCATTATTGGTGTATAGAAACACTATTAAATTTTGTATGTTGATTTTGTTTCCTGCAGCTTTATAAATTCATTTATTAGTTCTAACAGTTTCTTGATGGGGTCCTTAGGATTTTCTAAATTTATGATCATGTTATCTGTAGATGCGAACAACTTGATCTTCTCCTTTCCCATCTGGATGCCCTTTATTTATTTCTCTTGCCTAATTGCCCTAACTACAACTTTTAGTACTGTGTTGAATAGAGTTGGAGAAAGTGGGCATCTTTGTCTTGTTCCAGATCTTAGAGGAAGACTTCAACTTTTTGCTGTTCAGTATGATGTTAACTGTGCATTTTTCATATATGACCTTTAGTGTGTTGAAATATGTTCCTTCTGTACTCAATTTGTTGAGTTTTTATCATGAGGGATGTTGAATTCCATTGAATTATTTTTAAGCCTCTATTGAAATGATCAAGTGGCTTTTGTCCTTGATTCTGTAAATGTTATATATCACATTTACTTATTTGCCTGTTTTGAACCATCCTTGCATCCCTGGGATGAGTCTCACTTGACCATATTGCATGATCTTTTTAATATATTATTGAATTTGGTTTGGTACTATTTTGTTGAGGAGTTTTAGAGCTATGTTTATCCTAGAATATTGGCCTGTAGTTTTATTGTTGTTATGCTAGTTTTGGTATCAGGATAATGCTGGCCTGTAAAAATTGACTTTAACAGGCTTCCTTCTTCTTTCATTTTTTTTTTTTTTGGAATAGTTTGAGCAGAATTGATGTTAGTCCTTATTTAAGTATTTGGTGGAATTTAGCAGTGAAACCATCAGGTCCTAGGCTTTTCTTCGATAGGAGGCTTTTCATTACTGCTTCAATCTCGTTACTTGTTATTGGTCTGCGCAGGTGTATTTCTTCATGATTCAGTCTTGGTAAGTTGTATATGTTCATGCATTTATTCATTTCTTCCAAGTTTTATAATTTGGTGGATAGTTGTTCATAATAGTCTCTTAAAATTCTTTACATTTCTGTGGTATCAGTTGCAGTGTCTCCTGTTTTATTTAATTTTATTTATTTAAGTCTTCTCTTTCTTATTCCAGCTAAAGGTTTGTTGATTTTGTTTATCTTTTCTAAAAATCAGCTCTTTTTTGCATTGATCTTTTGCATTTTTAAGCCTTTATTTTGATTATTTCTACTCTTATTTTTATTATTTCTTTCCTTCTACTTATTTTGGGTTTAGTTAGGTTCTCTGTGCTATATTCCAAATAATTTCTTTGCATGTGTATTCCAGTTCAATAATTCTCTCTGTATTTAATTGTATATAATTTATCTCTTACTTAACTGTAATGTTTTAACTTGTTTAATTTCTAATTTTAACTATTATTTCTTTTATTGTTATAAATTCCATTTGGTACTTTAAAAAATCTGCCTGTCAATTCCAATGCACTATTGTTTTTAAATTATACTTTAAATCCCCCAAATTTCTTAAACATATTAAACACATCTACTTTATATTTTATGTACAATAATTCTCCTATCTGGAGTTTTTGTGGTCTGATTCTTCAGTTTGTTGTTTTTCTGAACTCTTACTTTCTTTATGGTGACTTACGTCTTCATTGATGATCTTTTATTGTATGTTCAGGTTGCTTGGAATTTTTTTCTGTGGAATTTTTTTGAGGCTGAGTTTGAAGGGCATTCTTCTAGGAATATTTGTGGCATTTGTGTTTACTTTTGACAGGGATCTAGGGGCATTACCAACAGGAAATACTTTCAACTAGATTTTCAGTTGAAGTTTTTTTGGGTCATACAGGTAGTATAAATTCCAGTCTCGAATGTGAGTAAACACAGAGTAGAGGTTAGAAAATTTTCTTTTTATCTCTTCTTTCCAAAGTCAAGACTGAAACAGCCAGGGTTCCTTCTGAAGACAGAGCACTTCCTAGTTTATCCATTGATGGTATTACCCTGAAGAATATCAACTCTGCATTTGATATTCTGCAAGGCTGCATTCAACCTTCCAGCCTGCTCTAGCCCCATGTATTATCCCTGTCTCCCACAGCCTTGCACATTGAAACCCAGCTCTAGTCATTAGGGATTATCAGATAACCTGAGAGCAAACACTATTTCAAGCTCTCACTCTTGTAGAACCTTGTTTTATTGTTTCCTGTCTCCTATATTTTCCCTTTCACTTTACTTTCATTTTAGCCATGATTTATTGATATTTTATTCATCACTCTTAAATGTTCTTTACTGGGAGAAGTTTTCTGCACATCAACTATGCTAGGTAGAAGTTTTCTGCACATCAACTATGCTATAAGTAATATAAAAAGCAACTGAAATGTGGAACACAAAGTGGGGTTTTTGATACATCTATATCTACAAATAGATATATCATTACCCTGTTTCTAAATTACTATGTTAGTGACTATTAGCAGCAATAACTCCCTATATTATTCACTCTCCAAAAGCAGTTATGGATTACGTATTCATGTAAAATTAGCCTGCTTAACATATGGCTTCTGATTCACACAAGTTTGTGATGGGTATGGTGCTCTGAAGCCAGAAAATGGTGCATACATATTTAATGGCCTAGTATGGAAGTACTTTGGAATGATGGTCTAAATGCTGAAAATACTTAAATATTTGAAATAATTTTTGTTTAATTTGAACTCAATGAACTTAATTGAGCATATAGCATTAGGCATAACACTGAATAGTTATCTTAGTAGAGTAGAATGTGTATAACTTCTGAAGTTAGAGGAATCACCTCAAATCCTAACAAACTTATTGAGAATACATAATGAGAACATGTTTATGTAATACATTTTAGAAGTATAAAGTATTTTCCATATGTTACTTTTTCAACACTGTAGTGCCAGGGACACAGAAAGCACTCAATAATCTTTTGTTAAAACAATGAACTAAGGGTTGTTATCATCCCAGGTACCTTTAGATTTTTTTTTTTTTTTTTTTGAGACAGAGTCCTTGCTCTGTTGCCCAGGCTAGTGTACAGTGGCATGATTTTAGCTCACTGCAACGTTCACCTCTCAGGTTCAAGCAATTCTCGGGCCTCAGCCTCCCAGTAGCTGGGACTACATGCGTGTACTAGCACGCTAGGCTAATTTTTGTATTTCCAGTAGAGATGGGGTTTCGCCATGTTGGCCAGGCTGGTGTCAAACTCCTGGTCTCAAGTGATCTGCCTGCCTTGGGCTCCTAAAGTGCTGGAATTACAGGCATGAGCCATACATAGCCCAGCTGCCTTCAGACTTTTCTAAAGAAAGAAAACCTGATGTTAATAAAAATGTTTTAACCATTACTTTTATCATTAATGATCTTGATATAGTTAATACTTTAAGTACTATGAAATATAGTAATTAAAATGGCTGTATATTTAAACTTGAAAACAGTTTTAGCATAGCATTATTTACTATGAAATACTTACTGCAGTTGCTTGTAGATTATTGGGGTGGACATTAAGGAGCTCCTCAGGAGGGTTTAAAGGTTTGAGATAACGTGTGATAAAAACAGTTTTTCCATTTATATCAATTACTGTTGTAAGGCACTGACGATTTGGGAACTTGAAGGCACATTCTGCTTGAAACTTCTCACTTGCTTGAAGTAATTTCTCATCTTCCTGAGACTCAAACTTCAAAAAGAAACACTTCATGGAGTTTATATATGTTTACAAGAGAGAAAGTACATGTTCAGATTCCACAGTCAACACATGCATTAAATGTATGGTTTGGTAAGTATGATCTACTCCTTACAAAGCATGTCCTACTGTCCCTGCAGCTTTATTTAAATTAAATTTGTAGTTTGAAAATTAGACTGACTCATTTAATACTTAAAATATATTTGAAAGGATTGAAAGAAAGTAGTTAACAGGCAAACAGCCAGATGGAAACTACTACATTAATGAAATAATCTATGAAAGTTAAACTGATATATGAATTCTGATTGTTAAGGCTATAATTAGGTAATAGAGTTTTGTGTGTATTTTAATGTTAGTTTTAAGTGTGCTGGCTGGGGAGGCCTCAGAAAATCTAACATCTCAAATGCAAATCTTAAGCAACTTAGCAAATTTATGAATCTATATCGATGTGCTAAAATGTTTCAAGTCTATAAGCACTGTAATAATAGTGCATCTCAAAGGAAAAAGGAGGCAGAACTAGAAACATCAAATTTATAAGAATTATTTTAAATAATTGGTTACTCATCTTGGTTCTCTGAGCCAAGATGAGCAACCAATTCCCAGCCTTTTTTTTTGAGGCAGGGTCTTATTCTGTCACCTAGGCTGCAGTACAGTGGCACAATCACAGTTTACTGTACCCTCAAACTCCTGGGCTGAAGCGATTCTCTCACTTTGGCCTCCTAAAGCAGTGGGATTACAGGCATGAGCCACTGCATCCAGCCACTAATTCCCAGACTTTTAAAAAGTAACTAAAAGCAGATGAAACAGAACAAATGTAAATTTCCTTTACACACATATTGTCATTTTTCCCCCTAAAGCTGCTGCTAACAAAATAATATGAAAAAGAGTGGGTGTTAAAATATTTTTAAAAGATGTTTGGTAAAAATATTTGCATAGTTGGTTAAATTTTAAAGAATTTCAGAACCAAAAATTTTATTTTAAAAAATAATTTTGGGGGCTGGGCACAGTGTCTCATACCTTTAATCCCAGCACTTTGAGAGGCCAAGACAGGAGGATCACCTGAACCCAGGATTTTGAGACCAGCCTGGGCAACATAGTGGGACCCTGTCTCTACCAAAAAAAAAAAATTAGCTAGGTGTAGTGATTCCTGCCTGTAGTCCCAGCTACTTGGGAGGCTAAGGTAGGGGCATCTCTTGAGCCTGGGAAGTCGAGATTGCAGTAAGTGGACATTGAGCCACTGCATTCCAACCTGGGCAACAGAGTGAGACTCTGTTAAAAAGAATAATAATTTTAAAATAGAATTTAGAGGCAGTGCTTGAAGATGTTTGGTTTTCTTTTTAACACTTCAAGCTGCTGATACATGATGTATTTACTCCGTCTTTCCCACAAAATAAGATTCCTGACTTCAGGGATTTAGTTTTTTATCTCTAGTATGGAGAATACTACTTGGCACATAGTAAGTGTTTAACAAATGAGTGAATGAATGAGTTAATGAAAAACATTTTATTACTTTTTATGACTTCAAATAGAATCTAGATTATCCCAGTTGTTCTTGATTGCCCCTTCTATTGGGACTGGATTGTGGCTTCTATTTCAAATTTGATTACTATATCCTAAGAAATTGGGGTAGTGGTTTTAGGAGTTATTTAGGATGGAGACATTCCCCAGAAGCCTCCTATATATTCTCATAGGTTGTCTGCCAACATCTAAATCTTAATATCATCACAGTCATAACTGCCTACCGCTCAGCATAGTGCCAAGACATAGTAGCTACCTAATAGAAGTTATGATATATATATATATCATATATATATAAATATATATATATAAAACTAAGTGAAAGAGGTAAGCTCGTAAGGCTTTGGTGTAGGTGTATCACAGATTTCTAATGTGGCATGGTCAATCAAGAAGTAATTGTAACTGTGGAAAAATGGAGAATTATAAAACAAGAATGATGTGCAAAAAAAAAACCCACACAGTTGAATTTATTCCTTTTCCTCTAAGCTCTTTCATTTATTCATCCAGTTTTTAAAAAATGTTTGTTGGGAGTCTGAAAACTTCCAGGCACTCTGTATAAATAAGTGTGAAATAATCCTCTGAAGGAACTTTTAGTCTACAGGGGAACATTAATAAGCAATCAGGGCCATAAGACCTACGGTGCTGTGGGAGCATTTAGGAGAGACAGCTATAGGCACTGTCCAAAAGAACAACAACAATCTTGAATCAGTACTGATTACTGGCCTTCCAAGTGAAAAAAAGAAAAGTGTGTCTAATGTTTTTTCTACCACTTGGATTCAAATGTTCTGTTGAGTCTCTTATCTCTATAAGGAGTGTTTCTTGAAGCCTGTGTTTGACTATTTCTTATGTACACCCAGCATACACATGGTAAGCGTTTAGTGTTTAATACTTGTCTAGGCCATCAAGATCCCATTTTATGGTTTGAAACAGAATTTAAGGATTAGTAGCATGCCATGTTAGTGATCTAAGAAAAGCCAAGAAAAAGTTAAATACTGAAAGAATTTGGGTCATTTATGATGAAACAAAGTAAGGTGGCACTGACAAATTCCCTTGGATTCAACAGAAAATTTGAAAGATTCTTGACTGGTTCAATTCTTTGGCCTCTAATGCAAACATTTATAGAAAACTGAATGGGTTTACGTTGCCTTTGAAAAGCTACACTGGCTAGATGCAGTGGTTCACACCTGTAATCTCTGCACTTTGAGAGGTTGACCACTGGAGGATGGCTTGAGCCCAGGAGTTTGAGAGCAGCCTAGGCAACATAATGAGACTTAACACTAGAAAAAAAAAATAAACAAAATTAGCTGGGCCTAGTGGAGTACACCTGTGGTCCCAGGTACTTGGGAAGCTGAGGGCTGAGGTAGGAGCATTGCTTGGGCTGGAGAGGTTGAGGCTGCAGCAAGCCATGATTGCACCACTGCACTCTAAACGGGCAACAGAGCAAGACCCTCTCTCAAAAAAAAAAAAAAAAAAAAAAGAAAAAGAAAAGAAAAGAAAAGAAAAGCTGTACTGAGACAGCCCCAACCCACCAGAAGTAACTTTCAGAGATACAGTCTCTGCAAGAAGCAGCTCATGGGTTTTATAGATTTGCAAAGAGTGGAGCTAGCTCCCAGTATGCAGGTAACATTCAGACTGACGACTTCTTAGATTCAAAGCTAAGAATCTTTCTGGTAAAATGAAATGGGTCAAAAGACAAGGTAGGACATTCTTCACGGAACTGGAGACACTTGGAATTCAAATGCCGAGGCATCACACATACATTAAGATATAACACCTGCCCCCCAGGTGGCAGTAGACAGAAGCAGCTAATTAAAGCCTAATAACTACTGACCAATAAATAGTAAAACAAAATACTTAGTACCTTCTTAAGCATGTTACTCATCTATCAGAAGCAAGCAAGCAAGAAAGAAAAAGAGGCAGGATTTATTAACAGAAATAATCTTTTAAAAAACTTATTTTTAACCAAGATCGTGTAAAGTAAGTGATATTAAATAAGAGTTTTAGGAGTTTCTACCCATCTTTAAAAACTTTCCATTAATAAATCTGTTTAAAACATCCTGTGGAATGGTTCCATATGGCATGGTGGTAGAGGAGAGACTCTAATCTGCTAATCCTGGAAGTACTGCTGTAAGTGGAAAAACAATTCCAGGTTGTGGACCCTATAATTTTAGGATGAGAACTTTTCTGTCCTAAATTGTCTGCAGGTGAATCACTGAGTGGTGTTTTCTGCCACTGCATGTTTTGGACATAAGGTTCCTGTCAATCAGCATACCTTCCTTATCAAACAGCCACAAAGAATCTGCCTTCCATGGTTTCTTTTAAGCCCTCATTTTAGAGGCCTAAGATAAATGAGTCCTGCAGCCACAGTGGGGTAGTGACCTGCCACCAAAGACAGAATCTGACTGCCATTTAACAGCTTTAGGGAAGGAAGACTGCAGGACTTGAGTACTGTGGTTCAGATCCCTGGAGGCCTCTTCAGAGTCCTGCAGTAAGAAGTCAGGGCTTGTGAGGGATGCCTAGCATGGAGGAGTCTTGGGCTTTCATCCTTTCTGCCAGGATAGACTGCTTTCACATGTTTAGAAACTCACCCCCAAGGTAGGGTTCTAGCTGACTGCCTGTTCTTCAGTTACATATACATAGAAACAGCAAAATCTTTTGTCTGGAAGTATTTTTGTGTGTAAACATGTTTGTTAGCGTTCTTTTGAATTTATACATGAAGACAAACATTCAGAATGTATTTTTCCCTTTTAAAAAATATTTTGAAATGGATATATTCTAATGTTTTCTAGAGAAGCACCATTTTACTGACAAAATTAATATAGGATTAATTTAAATTTCAGTAAATTTATTTTTTCAGTACTCTTTTTTTTTTTTGTAAATGCTTTACAGATGAGAGATAGTAATAATATTTTTTCTCTGCAAACCAAATTGTAATACTGGGGAAAAAAAGGAGTGTGTTTGTTTATCTCTATCTAAGTATTAATTATAATGGATAGAGTAGAGTAAGCACAATAATTTGTGCAATATAGGTTAGTAGTTAACAACTTACGATTATACATGAATGTAAGCTTGGAGGACTTTTTATCTGCTTTTTTAGCCTACTGTACCCCAATGCCTAAGAAATGTCTGTCACATAGATGTGCTGAATGTATACAGTTTAGAGTCAGACAGACATGTTACCTCTGCCTATGTTACCTTGCATAAATTGAACCTTATTTTTCTCTTCTGTATGTTGGAGACCCCTTGTCTTAAGACACCTGTGAATATTAAGGTGAGAACGTGTATCCAAAGTTTGACATAGTGCTAAGGACAGACTAAGGACTCAGTACATCTTGGTGGTGGCTGTTGATGTTATTATTGTATTTGTTTACATATGAATAAGAGGTCACCATCAATATATTCTCCCAAATTCAATAAGGGTAGTATGTATAAATGTTGTATACAAGTATGTTACAGAAAGACATTCATTTCTTAACCCATTTATGCCTGAGGTTGCAATTTTTTTAATTTTTGCAATCAGACCTAGGTGATAACTTTGAGCAGTAGGATATAAATAACTCTCACTTGCTTAGTGTTCCAATAATGGAACACTTGGCATAAATAGGTTTAATGAAGGTTCAGGAACAATTGCTAACCATTGAAAGTTCTGGAAACTCTTTTCTAGAGATATTTAAAAGCATACTTGTAAATACATTTATTTGTTTCATGGAATGAATTCAGGTGACTCATAAAGGTCATCTAGTCTTGTGATCCTATGAATTGATTCAATGAGTAGCATAACCAAAGATGTTAGATTAGACATGGAAATATATTCTTGCCAATACTTATCAAATAAAAGAGCAATCTGATTTTCTAGTTTGTGATATTTCGTTTTCTTCACATTGATAAAACTTAAAGTCTTAAGTTTTAGGCAAAGCAAGACAAATATAAACATGTTGCCAATTGACCCAATTACTGGTTCAGTGAATGTACAAACCCACACATCTGTTTTTCACCACCATTCTGTCTAAACTGAAAGAATAATAAATGGAGATTGAAGTAAGGAAACCTCGTTTGTGTAGCATAGTCAACATCATAAAAGCGTAGCCTAGCAAGCATTTCTTGTGTTTTAATCAACATAGACATGGGTTTCCAAACCATAAGCCATTACCTTTCCTTGAACAGACTCTCCAGGAACCAGCTGGGGCTCAATTGTAATAAACAGAGTGATGTAAGAACCTTCACTTAAGTTTCGGACAGAGTCAAAACCCCGCTCAAGAATCGTATTTCGCTCCTTACTGTAGCCCAGAAGAACTGGGGGAATATCTATTTTAAATGTTCCATCAATCTGTGAAGAAAATATAACTTGGTAAACATTCTGATGCTTTTTCCAACAGAAGTTCAGAGGCAAGTGTCAACTCCTCATTGTCTAATAAATTGAATCAAAACTGCTTAGACTGGCATTCAAAGTCAACCCCATCTTTCTAACCTCATCTCCCTAAGCACTTTCTATAAAGGGCTCTGTACCTATTTGCCTTCTTTTCATTGTTTAGCAGAGGGTGTACTGGATATGCAGTTTGCTTGGGTTCAAATCTTGGTTTAAAGGCAGTTTTGGGTTCAAAACTTGGTTTACAAATGAGGAATCTGAGGTTTCCTCATTAGTAAAAAGGAGTCAATGATAGTATCTACTTTGTGGGGTTGTTATTAGTAAATGAATAAATGTAAAACAGTAAGAAAAATGTCCAGCATATGGTAAGCAGTCAATAAATATTGGCTAGTGGCCATTCCCCATTTCTAGAATGCCCAGCTTGTCTGCTTCGTTTTTCAGAATTTTAATTATTTTTCAAAGCTTAGGTCAAATGTTATCTGAGGATAAAGGAAAAGAAGAGTTTACAAACTATAAAAACTAGGGAGGCCGGGCTCATACCTGTTATCCCAGCACTTTGGGAGGTGGAGGCAGTTGGATCACTTGAAGTCAGGAGTTTGAGACAAGCCTGGCCAACATGGACTTCTACTTTCAAAGTCTCATTCTGTTGTTCAGGCTGGAGTGCAGTGGCACCATCTAGGCTCACTGCATCCTCTGCCTTCCGGGTTTAAGCAGTTCTCCTGCCTCAGCCTCCTGAATAGCTGGGATCACAGGTACATGCCACCATGCCCGGATAGTTTCTTGTATCTTTAGTGGAGATGGGGTTTCACCATGTTGTCCAGGCTGGTCTTGAACTCCTGACCTTGTGATCCGCCTGCCTCAGCCTCCCAAAGTCCTGGAATTACAGGCGTGACCCACCGTGCTCAGCCTACAAAGAAAGTTTTAACAGGAAAAATGGATACAGAAATTCCCTGATTTCATGGACTTCTGACTTTAGATGCTTACCCTTGCTTGGAAATATATTGTGCTAAATGGAATTTTCACACATCCCAGCCAGTGTCTCTCAATACGGGTATGGATTCCACTTCCTCTTTCACGGTCATCCTAAAGGAAGGGTGGGAAGTAATAATTGTTTAAGAACTCCAGGAACTCATTTAATTACTCTGGCAGCAGGAAAGCACTAAGAGTTTAGCTGAAAGCATGTGAACTTACATTAGACAGACCTAATCAAATACTGGTTCAGCTACTTAATGGCTTTGTGGCCCTAGGAAAGTCATTTGAACTCTCTGAACCTTAGTTTTTCTCATGAATAAACTAGAGATTTAACAATCTGTAGGATTATTTAGAATTAAATCAGAAAATGTGTGTAAAGCACCTAGTACAATTCTTGGCACAGAGTGGACACTCGACTGAAATTTAAAAAGCTAGCTGCTTCTCCCTCTCCCCCTTTCCCATTTAGACATGTCAAATTTCAAATATTTCAAACACAAGGAAGATGGGAAAAATGTTATCAGAGGCATTTGAACCAAAGCGACTCCATCTCGAGTGAGGGCTGGGAAACATGAGGCTGGAACTTGTTGGGCTGCATTCCCAGAAAGTTAGGTATTCTAAGCCTCTAGATGTTTACAGTTAAGGGAACAGATTGATAACATTTACAAAACACCCAGACTAAGGAGTGTTCTGCTATCCTGATATCTTGAGAACAGAAGCATTCCTAATTTTGCTTTAAAGATAATAATATAGATTCTTGCAGAATACAGTGTTAGAAAATTAATCCTTTATCACAAACCCCTGTAGGAGAGCACATCTTCCCAGGATCTTTTTATCCTATATCTAAACAAGCTTTGTACCTAGGGTGAACATATTCTTCCTCTTACTTTTGGGAACACCCAATTCTGTCTATGGAGTAGCTATTCTTTCACCACTTTACTTTCCTAGTAAATTTGTTTTTGCTTTGCACTGTGGAACTTGCTCTGAATTCTTTCTTGTGCGAGATCCAAGAACCCTCTTTCGGGGTCTGGACTGGGACCCCTTTCTGGTAACAATGTGATTAGAATTTACATAGTAGGTAGAGAATATGAAAATGAATACAGGTGGCTTTAAAACTGAGAACTTACCTCTAAGACATCATGCAGTACTTCATCAAAAATGTTAATGAACACAACGTCTTTCACTGACTGCAGACTGGCTGTGCTATAATCTCCATTAGGAGCCCTGCAAGACAACACATGACCAGGGACTGTGAAAATAGGCAACATAAGGCCGGGTATGGTGGCTCATGCCTATAATCCCAGCACTTTGGGAGGCAGAAGTGGGCAGATCACCTGAGGTCAGGAGTTTGAGACCAGCCTGACCAATATGGAGAAACCCTGTCTCTCTATATATATAAAAAAATTTTTTTAAAAAGGAAAATAGGCAGGGGGAGGACTCAAGATGGCGCTGTGAGAGCAACCCAGGATTGGAGCTCTTCTCGTTGAATCCGCAAACGGTGAGTCAGAGCGGCATTTCCAGACTGATCTTTGTTGCCCACAGAACGGGGAAACTCCCAAGTATAAAAAAGACACGGGACGCCAGGCAGCCGGGGCGGCGGCGGCCGGCCCTACCCAGCAATCCCCACAGGGCGCGCTTGTCCGGGTGCCCTGTTGAACCGGCAACCTGAGACTTGAGAGGGCTGGACTTGAGACTGAACGAGACTTGGACACTAGGCCAGCCCAGGGGATTGCAGGGATTGGGATACCCAGTGGGACCAACAAAACCGCAATTTCAAACTATCCTGAGCAGACGGTCCGAGACGCTCTGTGGGGGAGGGGCGTCCACCACTACCGAGGCAACCCGCCCCAACTGAGATACACGCCCACTGCTGACGCAGCCAGCCGTTGCCGAGGCAACCCGCCCCAACTGAGATACACGCCCATTGCTGACGCAGCCAGCCGTTGCCGAGGCAACCCGTCCCTACTGAGATACACGCCCACTGCTGACGCAGCCTGTCGTTGCTGAGGCAACACGCTACAACAAAGAGACACCGCCGCAGGGCGTGGCGGAGACCACAGCAGAGCCGGCAGGAACAGCGCGAATCACACAACAGCAGGGCGGAGCCTCGGCAGCCAAACAGTGGCTAGTCTGCCTTCTAGCTGGGCAGGACACCTGATCGGACATCCAAAAATAAAGCCCAAACCCCTCAACACAGAGCATTTGAGAAAAAAAAAAGGTTTTTTAATGAGCTCTGTTGCAGCAGAATAAAACATAGCAGCCTAACAGCCCTGAATGAACAACAGAGTGCACAGCTCAGCAATTAAACCCCTATAGAGTACAAACTGTCTCCTCAAGCAGCTCCCTGACCCCTCTATATCCAAAAGACTGACATTAGGCAGGCATCATCCTGGGACAAAGAGAGCAGAAAAAGAAACTGGTAGCATCCCTCGCTGTGCCACAGCTACTAGAGGTGCAGCCCAGACAAGCAGGGTCTGGAGCGGACCTCAGCAGTCGTACAGCGAAGGGGCTAGACTGGTAGAAGGAAAACCAAGCAACAGAAATACTTCATCATCAACATTCTGGGTGTCCACTCAGAGACCCAAACGAAAAGTCAGCAACTACGCAGACGACCAGTGGACAAATCCACAAAGATGGGAAGAAACCAGTGCAAAAAGGAGGAAAACACCCGAAACCAGAACACCTCGCCTCCTAGAAAGGACCAAAACTCCTCACCAGCAAGGGAGCAAAGCTGGACGGAGAATGACTGTGACGAAATGACGGAATTAGACTTCAGAAGATGGATAATGAGAAACTTTTGTGAGCTAAAAGATCATGTATTAAATCAATGCAAAGAAACTAAGAACCTTGAAAAAAGATTTGAAAAAAGATTCGAGGAAATGATAACAAGAATGGATACCTTAGAGAGGAATATGAATGAATTAAAGGAGCTGAAAAACACAATACGAGAACTTCGCGAAGCAAACACAAGTTTCAATAGCCGAATTGACCAAGCAGAAGAAAGAATATCTGAAGTCGAAGACCAACTCAATGAAATAAAACGAGAAACCAAGATCAGAGAAAAAAGCGCAAAAAGGAATGAACAAAGTCTCCAAGAAATGCGGGACTATGTGAAAAGACCTAACCTACATTTGATAGGTGTACCAGAAGGGGACGAAGAGAATGAATCCAAGCTAGAAAATACTCTTCAGGACATCATCCAGGAAAATTTCCCCCACCTAGCAAGACAGGCCAACACTCAATCGCAGGAAATACAGAGAACACCACAAAGATATTCTGCAAGAAGAGCAACCCCAAGGCACGTAATCATCAGATTCAACAGGGTTGAAATAAAGGAGAGTATACTAAGGGCAGCCAGGGAGAAAGGTCGGGTCACCCACAAAGGGAAGCCCATCAGACTCACAGCAGATCTCTCGGCAGAAACACTACAAGCCAGAAGAGAGTGGGGGCCAATATTCAACATCCTTAAAGAAAAGAACTTTCAACCCAGAATTTCATATCCAGCCAAACTGAGCTTCAGAAGTGAAGGAAAAATAAAATCCTTTGCGAACAAGCAAGTACTCAGAGATTTTGTCACCACCAGGCCTGCTTTACAAGAGCTCCTAAAAGAGGCACTACACATAGAAAGGATCAATCAGTACCAGCCATTCCAAAATCACACTGAATGCTAAAGAGCTTCAACATAATGAAGAATCTACAACAACTAACAGGCAAAACAGCCACTTAGCATCAAAATGGCAGTATCAAATTCACACATAACAATATTAACCCTAAATGTAAATGGACTAAATGCACCAATCAAAAGACACAGACTGGCAAATTGGATAAAAATCCAAAACCCATCAGTGTGCTGTATCCAGGAAACCCATCTCACATGCAAGGATACACAAAGGCTCAAAATAAAGGGATGGAGGAAGATTTACCAAGCTAATGGAAAGCAAAAAAAAGCAGGAGTTGCAATTCTCATCTCTGATAAAATAGACTTTAAAGCAACAAAGATCAAAAGAGACAAAGAAGGCCATTACATACTGGTAAAAGGATCGATACAACAAGAAGAGCTAACGATCCTAAACATATATGGACCCAACCCAGGAGCACCCAGATACATAAGGCAAGTTCTTAATGACTTACAAAAGGATTTAGACTCCCACACAATAATAGTGGGAGACTTTAACACTCCACTGTCAATACTAGACAGATCAACCAGACAGAAAATCAACAAGGATATCCAGGGCTTGAACTCAGACCTGGAGCAAGCAAACCTGGTGGACATTTACAGAACTCTCCACCCCAAATCCACAGAATACACATTCTTCTCAGCACCACATCACACCTACTCTAAAATTGACCACATAATTGGAAGTAAAGCACTGCTCAACAAATGCAAAACAACTGAAATCATAACAAACAGCCTCTCAGACCATAGTGCAATCAAGTTAGAACTCAGAATTCAGAAATCGACCCAGAACCGCACAGCTTCATGGAAACTGAACAACTGGCTCTTGAATGTTGACTGGGTAAACAACGAAATGAAGGCAGAAATAAAGAAGTTCTTCGAAACCAATGAGAACGAAATCACAACGTGCCAGAACCTCTGGGACACATTTAAAGCAGTCTCTAGAGGAAAGTATATAGCAATAAGTGCCCATATGAGGAGAATGGAGAGATCCAAAATTGACACCCTATCGTCAAAATTGAAAGAGCTAGAGGAGCAAGATCAAAAAAACTCAAAACCCAGCAGAAGACAAGAAAGAACTAAGATCAGAGCTGAGCTGAAGGAGATTGAGACACGAAAAACCCTCCAAAAAATCAATAAATCCAAGAGCTGTTTTTTTGAAAAGATCAACAAAATAGACAGACCACTAGCCAGATTGATTAAAAAGAAAAGAGAGAACAACCAAATAGATGCAATAAAAAATGATAAAGGGGAAATCACCACAGATTCCACAGAAATTCAAACCATCATCAGAGAATATTACAAACAACTCTATGCGCATAAACTAGTAAACCTGGAAGAAATGGATAAATTCCTGGACTCCTGTGTCCTCCCAAGCCTAAACCAGGAAGAGGCTGAAACTATGAATAGACCAATAACAAGGTCTGAAGTCGAGGCAGCAATTAAGAGCCTACCTCACAAAAAAAGCCCAGGTCCAGACGGGTTCACAGCCGAATTCTACCAGACACACAAGGAGGAGCTGGTACCATTCCTTCTAAAACTATTTCAAACAATCCAAAAAGAGGGAATCCTTCCCAAATCATTTTATGAGACCAACATCATCCTGATACCAAAACCCGGCAGAGACCCAATGAGAAAAGAAAACTTCAGGCCAATATCCATGATGAACATAGATGCAAAAATCTTCAATAAAATATTGGCAAGCCGATTGCAACAGCAAATCAAAAAACTTATTCATCATGATCAAGTAGGATTCATCCCAGGGATGCAAGGCTGGTTCAACATACGCAAGTCTATCAACGTAATTCACCACATAAACAGAACCAAAAACAAAAACCACATGATTATCTCAATTGACGCAGAGAAGGCATTTGACAAAATTCAACAGCCCTTTATGCTAAAAACCCTCAATAAACTCCGTATCGATGGAACGTATCTCAAAGTCATAAAAGCTATTTATGACAAACCAACAGCCAATATCATACTGAATGGGCAAAAACTGGAAGCATTCCCTTTGAAATCTGGCACTAGACAAGGATGCCCTCTCTCACCACTCCTATTCAATATAGTACTGGAAGTTCTAGCCAGAGCAATCAGGCAAGAAAAAGAAATAAAGGGTATTCAAATAGGAAAGGTGGAAGCCAAATTGTCTCTATTTGCAGACGACATGATAGTATACCTAGAAGACCCCATCGCCTCAGCCCAAAAACTCCTGAAACTGATAAACAACTTCAGCAAAGTCTCAGGATATAGAATCAATGTGCAAAAATCACAAGCCTTCCTCTACACCAATAACAGACTTAAAGAAAGCCAAATCAAGAGTGAACTGCCATTCGCAATTGCTACAAAAAGAATAAAATACCTTGGAATACAACTCACAAGGAATGAAAGGGACCTCTTCAAGGAGAACTACAAACCACTGCTCAACGAAATCAGAGAGGACACAAACAGATGGAGAAACATTCCATGTTCATGGTTAGGAAGAATTAATATCATGAAAATGGCTATACTGCCCAAAGTAATTTACAGAATCAACGCTATCCCCATCAAGCTACCATTGACTTTCTTCACAGAACTGGAAAAAACCACCATGAACTTCATATGGAACCAAAAGAGAGCCCACATAGCCAAGTCAATTCTAAGCAAAAAGAACACAGCGGGGGGCATCACACTACCGGATTTCAAACTATACTACAAGGCTACAGTAATCAAAACAGCATGGTACTGGTACCAAAACAGAGATATAGACCAATGGAACAAAACAGAGGCACCGGAGGCAACACAACATACATACAACTATACAATCTTTGATAAACCTGACAAAAACAAGCAATGGGGCAAGGATTCCATGTTTAACAAATGGTGTTGGGAAAACTGGCTAGCCATGTGCAGAAAGCAGAAACTGAACCCCTTCCTGACACCTTACACTAAAATTAACTCCAGATGGATTAAAGACTTAAACATAAGACCTGGCACCATAAAAACCCTAGAAGGAAATCTAGGCAAAACTATCCAGGACATAGGAGTAGGCAAGGACTTTATGAACAAAACACCAAAAGCATTGGCAACAAAAGCCAAAATAGACAAATGGGACCTAATGAAACTCCACAGCTTCTGCACGGCAAAAGAAACAGTCACTAGAGTGGATCAGCAACCAACAGAATGGGAAAAAATTTTCGCAGTCTACCCATCTGACAAAGGGCTGATATCCAGAATTTACAAAGAACTCAAGCAGATTTACAGGAAAAAAACAAACAAGCCCATTCAAAAGTGGGCAAAGGATATGAACAGATACTTTACGAAAGAAGACATATATGAGGCCAACAATCATATGAAAAAATGCTCATCGTCACTGGTCATCAGAGAGATGCAAATCAAAACCACATTGAGATACCATCTCACGCCAGTTAGAATGGCGATCATTAAAAAATCTGGAGACAACAGATGCTGGAGAGGATGTGGAGAAAAAGGAACACTTTTACACTGTTGGTGGGAGTGTAAATTAGTTCAACCATTGTGGAAGACAGTGTGGCGATTCCTCAAGGCCTTAGAAATAGAAATTCCATTTGACCCAGCAATCCCATTACTGGGTATATATCCAAAAGACTATAAATCGTTCTACTATAAGGACACATGTACACGAATGTTCATTGCAGCACTGTTTACAATAGCAAAGACCTGGAATCAACCCAAATGCCCATTGATAATAGACTGGATTGGAAAAATGTGGCACATATACACCATGGAATATTATGCAGCAATCAGAAATGATGAGTTTGTGTCGTTTGTAGGGACATGGATGAATCTGGAGAACATCATTCTCAGCAAACTGACACAAGAACAGAAAATGAAACACCGCATATTCTCACTCATAGGTGGGTGATGAAAAATGAGAACACATGGACACAGAAAGGGGAGTACTAAACACTGGGGTCTATTGGGGGGAAAAGGGGAGGGCCAGTGGGAGGGGAAGGTGGGGAGGGATAGCCTGGGGAGAAATGCCAAATGTGGGTGAAGGGGAGAAGAAAAGCAAAGCACACTGCCATGTGTGTACCTACGCAACTGTCTTGCATGCTCTGCTCATGTACCCCAAAACCTAAAATCCAATAAAAAATTAAAAAAAAAAAAAAAAAGAAAAAGGAAAATAGGCAACATAGAAATTATGAGCATTCAAATGTTAGCATTTGAAAAATACCCAAATATGAGCATAGATGTTAGAATTAAAAGCAGTGATTTCATTTCTAGGATTTCTCTTATACAGGGATACTATAATATACTATCTATATTCAGATGGACAGAACATTAGATTAGAGACTCCATGTAGATACAAACCCTCTGCTTTCCTGTCCTGGTGAGTCTCATATTCCTCCACACCCTTGTGGTAAATTTTTCAAGGAGCCAGCTTGCCAGAACTGAGCTAGCCCTGGGGACAGGCTACAAGGTTTCCAGCTGACACTGCAGCTAGCATATGGACTTTCTAAGCAACTAGGCCCCAAAAAGTGCTTCTCCAGCAAGATCACTCTTCAGTGATAAAAAACTACTGGCTGGTTCGTTGAATGGTTCCTGCCTCCCACTCACTTTTTCTGTATATAAGTAAAGCAATACAGGGGTGATGTCTCTGTAACATAACCCACTCTGAGTCTAGCTAAGCCTGAAACAAGCATGCCTCTGCATAGCAGAGCTGGTGACTGGGGTACTGAGTGTATTTTGTAGAACATTTGTCTTTATGTTTTCTTGTTTTTGTTTCTTCTGTGCATAATAGTGGTAGCTATCTCCCTCTTCTGACTTAACTCGTTTTTGTTGTTGTTTTTTGGAGACAGAGTCTCACTGTCAGTCAGGTTGGAGTGCAGTGGCATGGCCTTGGTTCACTGCAACTTCCGCCTCCTGGGTTCGAGTGATTCTTGTGCCTCAGCCTCCAAGTAGCTGGGATTACAGGCATGTGCCCTGGCCTCAAGTGATCTGCCCACCTTGACCTCTCAAGGTGCTGGGATTACAGGCATAAGCCACCATGCTTGGCCTGACTTAAGTAGTTCTAATCTTTGCTCTGTCTCGAATTTACTGTGTGGCTTTAAGTAAGTCACTTTCCCTCTTTGGGTTTTAATTTCTTCTCTATAATGGTAGAGGTTGGACTAGATTATATCCAACGTCACTTCAAGTACTGTAATAATAAGAACTATTTAAATATTTAAAATCCTTTGACCAAACTTCTGAAATGCCTATGCACTTCTAGTGAGGAAGAAAGTATGATTTATGGGAACTAAGGAGTTTTAGATTTACTTGAGGTGACACAAGGAAAAAAGGAAAGCAGTATAGGTCATTGGGGTCAAGGGAATGAGGAACTTTGGGCTTTAAGAAGCCAGACCCTGGAGGAGCATAGGGTGTCCCAACAATGAACTGGGGTTTTAAAGGTTGGGCATTTTTCCATTTTTATTCTTGAATGGAGTCAGCTGTGGTACAAGAGGAAAAGCATGGGACTTGGTGTCAGGACACCTGGATCTTGTTGCCACTCACTAGCTATAAAACCCTTCACGTTAGCCATTTCTCATGAGCCTGCTTTCTCCACATTTCTTCCAAATGTCTTATAGTTCTTTAAAGAGGAAAATATGCTTACCTAAATGGAAGTTCAAGTTCTTCATTCCAGCTGGGGTTTGGTCCTTCAGCTGTAGTTGTATGGCAAACTGTTCGCTGAAAAGAGACTTCTACAAAAGGACGTACTAAAACCTTAAAATCAAGAGCAAATCCTGAGTTCTCAGTGATTAAATTGTTTTATTCTTAGCAAAGGTAGAGTATATTTACTAAATAGTATATTTCCAAAGAAAATGAAGCAGAAAGCAGACTGTCCATGCAGTTTATAGGCAATTCTTAAAAACGTAAGGGCAAGATAGAAAGCTGACACCCAGCATCTCTCACCTGGCCAAGGGGGTAGTCAGCATTGTGGTTTGGGCTGTGTATGCTTGGGGAAGCAGCACGCTTTTCACTGAACATCCTCGAAGACCTTGATGGCTGCTGCAATTTGCTAGGAGGGAAAATGTATGAAGGAAATTAATGATGGAGAAAGTCTAATTATATATTGAGAAGATGGTTATTTCTTTATTGAAACAGGATCTTACTCTGTCACCCAAGCTCGAGTGAAGTGGCATGATCTTGGTTGGTGCAATCTCAGCTTACTCTGTCTCCCAAGCTCCCAAAGTGATCCTCCCACCTCAGCCTCCCGAGTAGCTGGAACTAAGGTGTGAGTCACCACACCTGGCTAATTTTTGTGTATTTAGTAAAGATATGGTTTTGCCATGTTGCCAAGGTTGGTCTCAATCTCCTGAGCTCAAGCAGTCTGCCCACCTTGGCCTTCCAAAGTGCTAGAATCACAGGCATGAGTTACCATGCCCAGCATTATTTTTAGTTAAAAAAATTTTTTTTTGTGGTAGAGTCTTGCTCTGTTGCCTAGGCTGGAGTGCAGTGGCATGATTATGGCTCACTGCAGCCTCAACCTCCCAGGCTCAAGCTGTCCTCGCACTTCAGTCTCCCGAGTAGGTGGGACTACAAACACACTCCACCACACCCAGCTAATTTATAAATTTTTTTTGTAGGGATCAGAGGTCTCACTATGTTGTTGCTCAGGCTAATCTTGGACTCCTGGGTTCAAGTGATCCTCCTGCCTTGGTTTCCTAAACTACTGATATTCCAGGTGTGAGCCACCATGCCCAGCTTGAGAAGTTGCTTTTTCCAAAGATGTATGGCCCTGGTGGCTATGGTGACAAACATTCTCCCTTGAGCTTGTTGACATTGCAGAAGGCTTTAGTATGCTCTTGCCGCCACCAAGTCACCTAGAGTCTGATAGAGCCTCCCCCACCTTCCATTCCCAGGCCTGTGTGTCTTCTAAGAACAAAGGAAAATGTTTCCTTTCTCCTCCCTGAGTGGGGGAACCTGCCTTTCTCTCCACAGATGAGAGCCTCAGTCCCTCGCAGGTAGGAGATCCTGAGCTTCCTGACCAGCCTGTCCTGTCTCCATCCAGTCCAGGTTCTCCCCACTGTATGTTCTTTGTACCTGCACCCTCCAGTAACCCCAAGCTACACATGTCAGGCAAGGAATCTCTCTTGGGGCCTGCCAGGCCATATCAAGAAAGGGAGGTGCAGGGATTCCTAGCTTGAGTTAGGATCAGCAGGTCTTATCCTTTTCTCCCTTCTCAATTGGTGTTCTTAAAGGAACAAATGGGGGTCAAACCCAGAGAGCCTCTTCCAGATACCTCCACCATCACCCTAACAACCTATTGTATATTTGTATTGAAGATTATGGTTTGCCAAGTGTTTCATATCTATTACTGGGCAAAATACAAATAGTCTCTTTCTATAGACTGTCACCTTTCACAGCTAAGGCTTCAGACAAATGTTAAGTTGAAGATTTAACATAATAGCTACCATAGAAAAACTATTTTCTCTTTGGAAAACCATCAATTACATTATTAAACAAACACTTGTGGCTAGATACAGTGGTTCATGCCTATAAAGAACCAAAGTAGGAGACCAAAATGGGGGAATCGCTTGAGCCTAGAAGTTCAAGCCTAGCCTGGTCAACAGAATGAGACCTCATCTCTACAAAAAGTAAAACAAAATAAACAAATTATCTGGGCTTTGTGGTGTATATCTGTAGTCCTAGCCACTTGGGAGGCTGAGGCAGGAGGATCTCTTGAGCCTAGGAGTTCCAAGGCTGCAGTGAGCTATGATTGCACCACTGCACTTTAGCCTGGGTGACAGAGCAAGACCCTGTCTCTAAAAAAAACAAAAAACAAACCATTTGTTTAGTACCTATATTTTAGGTCCATGTTAAACCCCACTTTGGGCTTTAAAGATGAAGAAGATAACACTCCAGTGCAGGCTGGACTGGAAGGCAGACATGTAAATCATCTCATAAAGTGAGGTAGGTATTAGACTAGAGGGGTGGGTAGAGGCTGTAGTTAAGAACAGTGAGGGAGGCAGGAAAACCCTATGTGGATGGATGCAAAAGTAAGGGATGAAGACTCGGACAGGCTTAATGGAACAGTTGATGTCTGAGATGTCTCAATGTATCTGCATTGAATGTGTAGCATGTAGGATCAACTGTGCATCCTTAATTTAGTTGTATGAAATGATTTGACACTTAAAAATAGTCTGTGGAGGTGAAAAATACAAGAAGCACCTCTGTTCTTTAAAAAATAGTGTTTCACCCCACAGTTGAGCTTTGAGGCAATTGGTGAAAGGGAGACCATGAGCTCAGGAAAGCAATACCATAGCAGATTCAAGGGTTTATATGGACATTTACAAGTAGCAAAGCAATTAGGAATAGTTGATGATGGTAGATGCTCTCTAATAGGTTAAAAAATTAGTAAAATTTAAAAATGCACATGCGTGTGCACGCATGCGCACGCGCGCGCGCGCACACACACACACACACACATAGGGGCCAGGCACCATGGCTCCTTTGGGAGGCAGAGGCAGGAGGATCACTTGAGGCCAGGAGTTTGAGACAAGCCTGGGCAAAATGGGGATACCCTGTCTCTACAAAAAATAAAAAATTAGCCAGGCATAGTGGGGCACACCTGTAGCCCCAGCTACTTGGGAGGCTAAGATGGGAGGATCACTTGAGCCCAGGAAGTCAAGGCTGAAGGGAGCTGTGATAGTGCCACTGTACTCAGCAAGGGCAACAGAGTGAGACCCTGTTTTAAAATAAGAAAATGTAAGGCAAAATAATGGGGTGAGAGGAAGGAGAGAGACAGAACTAAATTAAAGGGGAAGAACCTAGGGAGAAAAGAAGACGCCAAGGGCCAGAACACTGCTCTTCCAAGGAAATAGGTAGGGCTGAATGACCTTGGCCAAGCCACTTACACTCTCTTTACTTCCATTTCCTCTTTTGTGAAAGGGAGATAGTAGTAACAGTGAAATGAAATCCTGTATGTGAACGTGCCTGCCATGGTGCTTAAAACATGGTAAATGTAAGTTCTGTAAGTTCTACTTTCTCCCATTCTGCTGGTAAGGGCACCACCAAAAAGAAGTTTCAGGCCAGGTGCATTGGCTCACACTGGCAATCCCAGCACTTTGGGAGGCTGAGGCAGGAGAATCGCTTGAGGCCAGGAGTTCTAGACCAGCCTGGGCAACAGAGCAAGACCCTGTCTCTACAAAAAAAAAGTTAATTTTTGGTCCTTTCTTCTCTGTTTCCTCAGACTCATCTTCTGTATGGCTGGAAGCTCCCTGTTGCTCCTGGTGTAGTGAATTCTAGTAGTCATAACACATTTCTGAGAACAGATAAGAGGGAAGCCACATTTTCATGTTCACAGCACATATGTTTCAGAACCTTGGACAGACACCTTTTGTGCATCTCCCCAGCTCATACCCACCCACTTCTCTGAGATCTGTTTCTATCTTTGGGGCTGGTGCTTCTGATCCTATCTCTCTGGCTGTTGGTGATTAGACCATGGATCAACACCTGACCAAGTTAGCACCTTCAGACTTCTCTGAAAAAAATGATGCTTATTTGGTGGTACTCTGGCCACATGGGCCACTTCCATCACAGGGAGAAAAATGAAGCAAGCTCAGAGGGAAGCAAGTGGAGAGACCATGGGGCCTCAGGAGAACAATCTTATTACTGCAATGTACCATGTAGTTCAGCTATACCTCTTGTCCTTGTCCTGAGTTATTTGAATTTTCCCTCTAAATCCCCTCTTTAGCCTGAATTGACGGAATTGGCTCTATTACTTGCAAACAGTAAGGTCCTGGCTTTGCAAGGACCCCCATCTCCCTGCTGAACAGTAACCATGTTAAGAATGAGAGTGAATATTCCGTAAAGGAGTGATTGACTTGGCTGGGATGCTGTTCACCGCATCTTGGGCTGTTTGGAGGGCTCTCACCTCACTGCCAGTTTCCTCACTGGAATGTCATAAGCTCGGACAATGTTCACCAGCAGCTTTATGTCTCCATCAGACAGGTTTTGGGCTGTCACCTTCTTCCGACCTTTTCTCCTTGGTCGCAGTGGTCGCTTTTGTTCTGCCAGCTTGAAAAGGCTTAGGCCCAAAATGCTAATGATTACAGAACAGGATCAGGACTCTAAGGAAAAGAAAGGTCTGCATAATTGTGAGACGACTTCCCCAGCTCTGCCCCATGGTCTTGCACAGGCCCCTGAAAAACTCTTTGTACTTTGAAGGAAGATGGAAATAGTCTAGAAATTCTCCCAAATGGGAGAGATCCTACTGCATGGATTGTTAAAACTTATTCTAGCTGCTGCTTATCAGAAGAAGCAAAGCCATGCTCTGGCCCCTACATTTATTGCATTATCTCTGCCTTGCTCACTCATGAGTTCCTCAAATATGCCCTGTAGAATCCCACCCTTCACATTTGCTTGGGCCAGTCCTGCAGAGGTAATGCCTCTCTGCATCTTCCTTGTCTGCCTAGTTGGTTGCAGTTTTACCCATCCCTTGGGGCCACTGTCTTTACCTCCCCCAGAGACTCAGCTACACTGGCTGGAAGGAGTACTCCCTCTCTCAAGCCCCTTGATCTCCTATTAGCCTGCTTGGTGGGGGTGTACTGCTACGTAGGCAGTTCTTGGATTAACTCTCTCTGGAGATAGACAGAACTGAGTGTGAATCCTGACTCTACTCTTTGCCCTTGGGCACATTATTTCACCTCTTTAAGTCTCTGTTTCATCATCTGTAAAATGCAGATAATGGCATCTACTTCTTTGGTTGTTGAAGGGATTGAAGAAGGATGTGTGTGTAAAGCACCTAACACTGGTCTAGAATTTCATAGATGTCCTAAAATGTAACTATTGGGTTGATGCAGTTAATCATAAGAGAAAGGTCCATGGAGCAAATAAATTCTGGCCCAGAAACTAAACAGAAACAAAGATGTGACTTTGTATCTGAAAGCTGATGTTAATGGTGATGTCAAGCAGCCAAAGAACAAAGTCAGCTCTGCAGAACTGGCCACGGGCTTACATGCACATTGTTCTCTGCTTCCTTCCTGAGAATCAGAGCTGGCTAAGTGACCTCTTGACTGGGGCCCCTCTTTGCAAGAGGCACATGCCAGCTGAGGCTGAGGGCTCTGCAGTCCTATCTAGGCACTACTGACAGCTTCCAAAGGAATCCCAAGGAATTTCCAGGATTCCAGGAGCTGTTGTTCCTGTTTGTTCTCCAAGGTTTTGTACAGAACAGCTACCATTTATAGGCATCTTCTATGTATTGAGAAGAGTGCTGGGTGCCTTACATATAACATTTCTAATCTTTACACATATAATATTTACCCATATTTCAGATGAAGAAATTAGAGGCTCTGAGCGGAGTTATGATTTTCTGAAGATTCCTTAGTAGTAGGAGGGAGGGCAGGGGTTCAAACTCAGGTCACTGTGAGTACACAGCTCATGGTTTGAATCACTCTTCCAGGACACCTACCTAACCCAAATTATAGAGCTTCAGAGTCACAACTTTGTCAGAGCTCCTAACATGACAACACTCTTCCATTGTCAATGCTTCTTCCCTCCCCTAGAGGTAAGTCCTCCCTGAGACTTTGATGTCTCCATAGCCGTCAGCATGGGAGCACCATGTCAGCCAGGACCATCAAATACAGAAACATCTTAAAGCCAAGAAGGAACTGAAATTAAAAGAAGAAAGAACATACCCTGAGCCTTCAGAACTTAATGCAGAAAGTAAAGCAGAAAAAAGGAAGGAAAAGAAAAAAAAACAATATGAAAAATCATCATCTATTCTAAGTGTAATTTTCATGACTTTGAAAACATTCAATGACTGGATTCTGGGCCTGGAATAGAGAGAGAGGTTTTGCATGGATTTACATGGGTGTAGCCTCCTTTCTATAAGTGGAAAGGGGATAGCACTTTTTTTTTTTTTTGGTCTTCTTCCCAAATTGATGGTGGAGAGAAAATATATGCATAGAAAAGAACCTTTTTAAGAAACCAAGAGATTTACTTAATCACAGAAAAGGTCATGAGGTTAATGGCCTGCACAAGACCACCAGTATGGGAAGTTATTTTTCATCTTTTATGTATCCACACCCCTACTTGAAGCCATTTGACAATTATCCAAACTAATGAGTCAATTGGGCAAATACAGTCAATTCCCCATATTCATGTGACTATCAAATCTTCCCTGCTGTTCTACACTCTCACCAAGCACATGCACCAGCTCTCTTCCCACCAGCTGTGGTGCTGGAACCAGGTTTCCTCGTCTATGCCAGAACCTGTGGGTGGGGTCTCAGCCTCCTCTACTGCCATGTGACAGAAGAGTAAGGGAATGTCTGGCACTGGGAGACCAGGATAGCAGAAGTACTTGCAGGAGGGAAATGCTGTCAGGTTTAGTTCAACTGGAATAGGAAAATGGCAAAGGCTAATGAAGTTGATTTGGAAGTAGGGAAGGTGAGATGGGCTTCATTGGAATGCAATGGGAGAGGCCCTAGGAAGACTTGTTCTAATAGAAATCCCTCAACTAACGTCATCATCAGGCATTAACCAAGTTTAACACATTATTCCTGGCCCAAATGCATACCATATAATGATTTTTTAAAATCTTATATGACACCTTTCATATGAGTACAAATAATAATTTTTATGAGAAGTGATAATGGCTTTGATTATTTTTACCTGATATTGGGAACTTCTTCTTCTACTATCATATCAGCAAGAAGAAAATACTGTTTTGCAATTAAGGAACGATTTATCACTGATTCTCTAACCTGGGGAAAGAAATCAGCTTTATTTAAAATGTTTTTATTATTTAAACGTCATAGTTCACTCTCCACACTCCAAGTTTTTGCCCTAATGTCATCTGTGTCCCCCCTACCCTCCAGCCCAGCTGTTACTTTCCTCTGCAATGCTGGTCTCCTCTTGCTCTAAACCCTCTAGCTTTCTGTACTAGACTGTAAGCTCCCTAAAGGCAGGGGTTTTCCTGGTTTGCTTACTGCTATATTGCAGTTCCTGGTGAAAGTTCCCAGCATATAAGATGATAAAATTTTGCTGAATTAATGAATTAATCATTACAAAAAATAGGGCCAGTCTCAAAACACACATACTCAAGAACTGATTTTTTTTTTTTTTTTTTTTTGAGCTGGAGTTTCACTCTTGTTACCCAGGCTGGAGTGCAATGGCGTGATCTCGGCTCACTGCAATCTCCGCCTCCCGGGTTCAGGCAATTCTCCTGCCTCAGCCTCCTGAGTAGCTGGGATTACAGGCACATGCCACCATGTCCAGCAGCTAATTTTTTGTATTTTTAGTAGAGACGGGGTTTTATCATGTTGACCAGGATGGTCTTGATCTCTTGACCTCAGAACTGATTCTTAAGTTATTCCCTTATTCAGAATGATTCACTTCCTAATTCCAGAGGACCTCTGGCTGGGCATGGTGACTCACCCCTGTAATCCCAGCTCTTTGAGAAGCTGAGGCGGGTGGATCGCTTGAGCTCAGGAGTTTAAGACTAGCTTGGGACACATGGCAAAACCCCATCTCTACAAAAAATATAAAAATTAGCCAGGCATGGTGGTGTGCACCTGTATCCCAGCTACTCAAGAGGCTGAGGTGGGAGGATGGCTTGAGCCTGGGAGGCAGAAGTTAAGAGCGAGCTGAGATCATGCTACTGCACTTCAGCCTAGGCGACAGAGCCAGCCCCCTGTTTCAAATACATACATAAATAAAAATAATAACCTCTTAAATGTTATAAGTCATTTTTTTTTCCTAATACATGAGCCACAGGGCAGATAAACTGGATAGGGAAAATGCACTGTAGCATTTCTGGCAAGTTCAGTTAATTGAAGGAAGGAAGAAAAGAAGGAAACAAAAAAGGTAAAAGGATAAACAAAAGGATGTTTCAGCTTTAATTTTTAGTTTTCTAGTGCATAAGGGCAGTTATTAGATGGTTTAAAGACTTTTTTTTCTGATTACAAAGGTAATCATTGTAACTCAATGGCAACATTCAAATATTAGAAAAAACATACTTAGAAATTGAATCCCTTGTAACTATGCCCCATTAAAAGATAACTGCTAATAATAAACCAGGACATATCCTAGTGGTTTCATATACTTGAAAGGTGATAATAGTTGTCAATCAATTACATATTTGTATTTATGAGGAAATTTTTGCAAGCTAAGTGGCTTGCATAAGCTCACATAGATATTTATTAAAGTAGAGGACTTTTCACCTTCGGATGCTGGCTTTTTTTCCCCCTCTGAAGACAGTTTTATATGATTTTTCTCACCTGCTGGAGGTACTTGGCTACTATGGCCCTGTGGGTGTCTATGTGTTCCTTGGTTTCAATTACATTTCTGTCTCGTAACCGTTTCTCATAGTCCTAAAATTAAAAAGAGGTAATGATTTTATGATTTTAAAGCACTCTCCAGTGCTATTTTTAAGATCAGGGAATTATTTATCACATATGATTTAAGTTATAAATTGTGGTTTTAAATATTTCTTCCACCTTCTTTCTAACTTTTGGTTCAGAATTAGTCTTCAATGCAGTAACCAGGATTCTGAGACAGGTAGCTGAAATGCCTTACTAGTAGAAGAGAATTCTGTACAGTAGTTACAAATTAAAATGTTAAGTCAGGGAGAAATAGAGGCCACAAAATATAAGAGAAAAGCTTTTCCAAGCAACTTAGCCAAAGCTCCTGCTTAAGTTTTGCCTTTAGTAAAGCCATTACAAAAATAGTAAAAATTTCAAGTTAAAACATTACCATCATGACATAACACCTAGCTGCAGCTGAGTCAGGTCATCTGCTTGGAGGAGAGTGATGCATACATTTGGCTTTGTCTGTCAATAAAATTATGTATGTGCCCTGGGAACTGCTATGTTCTCTAATCCCACCATCTGGTCACAGTGGAACACCTGGAAGTGGTACCTAACCCAGGCTCAGAGGACACATCTCTGCTGGGTGAAGAAACTAGATATGAACTTGTGTGATGTTGGTGACCACGTGGCCAACTAGAGAAAACCTGTCTGCAAAGGAGGAACATGAAGCCAACATATCAAAGAAGCCGAGAGAGGAAGCAGAAGGGTCCTGGCAGCAGGCACTGACGCACTCATGCCATTCAACGCTTTTAGGTATTTAGTACTATTTTGAGATTTCATCATCCCGTAGACACTCCCCGTGGTACCTAAGGTAGTTCAAAATTGGGCTTTTATCTCCTGTGATCAAAGTCCAAACGAATATAGAGAAGAACCAAATAACCAAACATACTCTTTAAGAATAGTTTTGGCATGAAAAATCTTCCTGGTACTAATTCCTGATGGCTCTCCATTTACCTTATTAAGTATTAATAAAAGTGTGTGTGTCTACAGCTCATGAAAGCAGGGAAAAAGAAAAAAAAGTGCATGTGTCTGGTTTCACTGGCCTGCCCCTCCCCTACACAGGCCTGTTACCTGCAGTTCCTCAAAGGCTTCTCTACCCCATGCCCAGAGATGTAATCTGCTCTCTTCTGAGTCTTTGTTTCTCCTGCTGCCCTTGACCAGGATGAATGCCCAGCCCTGCCCACCAACCCTATGGATATTCAGATTCTGTCCCCCTAGTTTTCCCTAGTGCTTTACCACTGTACTGAGTATATTATGCTTAGTAAGTACTACATTATGGAATTGAATTCCTAAGACATTCAGTAATTAGCCATATTATTAGCCTTATTAACCCTTAAGATATTTTCAATTCTACAATTCTAATTGTACGTGGTTCAGTTGACTCAAAATCCTGGTAACTGATTCGTTTATATATCACTATATTGAGGCAGAGAGATTATTCAAATGGTGAATTCAAGAAAACGCATGGGAAGGTTATATATAAAAGTGCAATAAAGAGAAACTGCTATTGCTGGTGACAGCATAACAAAAACAAAATACATATATAATAATATACTAAACAGCACCACAGGTACTTTATTCTTTTATTAACCCCTCTATGGCAATTTCTTACCTGAAATACCTTTTCCATAATTTCTCGGTCATAGACTGGAATTTGCTTATAATTTCGGAATTCTGGCACCTCTTGGCTTCTAAGAAGAAGAAGCCTGAATCGTTTGGATCTATTTAATTCTTGATCTGAAACAAAGTTAAATTCCTGTTGCAGCTGCTCCAGTCTAAAGAAATCAGGGACATAGGATTCACCACTGGTAGCAACCTATAAAAAACAGAAAATGCAAAACTCTAGATGCCAGGCAGATTTCATCCAAAGAAACTTGGCACTGAGCTTCAAGGAACATTTAACAATTTTAAATTAAAAGACTTGAAAGACAAAATACTTTAAAATATAATGAGTCACATGTCATTATATTCACTTAGTAGCTGTAAAAAATATCAGAAATCATTTTTCCAAACAACAAAAATTACGTTTCACTGTTGTTGTGCATGTTTCCCTAGTAGTGTTATTATGCGAATATACAGACCGAAAAAGAAGAGATTTGTTCCAGACTACAGTGTATTACTAGGTCCCTACTAGAAATACTCATATATGTATTGTATATAAAATCAAATATGTGACTTTTTAATATCATGCACATATGCAGATAAAGGCCTCAGAGGCAGCTGGTCAGCTTTACAACCATGCCTTCCTGTCTCTGACAGGAAAATGACAGCCTTGGTTACTGAGAAAAATGAGCCAGAGATGGATCCAGGTCAGCCAGCCTCCAAAGCTCCTATGCATTGTCTTAAGAAGGCCCGGTCCGGACACCTCTGAGAAGAAATGGACTGCACTTCACCCAGGCCTGCTGCCTGCCTCTCTGCCTGGCACTTTGCTGGCTGTAACTTCCTCCTGAGCAGAGGAGTGCCCCAAGATGTGCTGGGGTCTTGCATGGGAAAGGCAACCCTGCTGTGAAAATCCTGGTCCATAACAAGAGACCAGTCAAGAAGGCAATCTCTGTTTTGTTCTTTGATGGGAAAACATATAGTTAAAAAGAAAATAATGAAAGTGATATGTCTATTGAAATGTGATTTGAAACTTTACATGGAATAGACTACATTTTAGGTAATATGACCCATTCTTCCTAATATTTCTATTAGGCGTGCATTTCTATTAGGTATATTATGTTGAAGGAGAGTTTATAAAGATAAAAGTCAGAATAAACTAAGGTTTGTTATGGGACTTGGATAAACTAGAACAAAAATGAAAATGTTCATACCGACTACAGTTATCCTAATGATAAATTCATACTAATAGCCATGATCATAAGAATGTGTTGCTAGGGCTATGCTCTGGATTACCTACTTGTTTATTATGGCTTTGAGTGAATAATGAAGTTGCCAATAAAACCAACTGTATTCAATACCAAGAAAAGTTAACTAATGTTCCAATTTATTCATAAATTCCCCAAAGAAAGAATTTTGAATATTAAGGTAGATATGAGCAATTTATCTGGTAAATACTTCAGTGAAACCTAAATGATAACCATCAACAAGAAAACAAGCAAAACACAGATTTCTTAAAATGCGCCATCAGTGCTTTAAGTTGTGATGAAAAGAGCAAGTGTCCTGAAATCAGATCGACTTATTAGCTGTGTGACCTTGAGCAGATAACGCTGAGTTTTTGAACTCAGCTTCTTCTCTGAAGAAGGGAAAATAAAACCTTTAGGAGTTTTACAGAGGTTCGAGGTAGGAGTGACAACAACAACATTTGCTGCTCAAGAATTGCATGCCCAGCTAAAGGGGTTTTGTTTGTTTGTTTGGTTTTTGAGATGGGGGTCTCACTCTGTTGCCCAGACTGGAGTGCAGTGGCAAGATCATAGCTCACTGAAGCCTCAACCTTGTGGGCTCAATTAATCCTCCCACCTCAGCCTCCTTAGTAGCTGGGACTATAGGTGTCCACCACCACGTCCACCACATTTTTATATTTTTTGCAGAGATAGGGTTTCGCCATGTTGCCCAGGCTGGTTTCAAATTCCTGGGCTCAAGCGATCCTCCTGCTTTGCCCTCCCAAAGTGCTGGAATTACAGGCATGAGCCACCATGCCTGGCCAAACTCTGTTTTTATGCAGCTGTTCATTTCCTCATGACTGCACTATGACAGCAGAACAGGACTTAGAAGCACCGAATCCTTGCCTTGGTCTCAGGCAAGAAGCAGAGCTGGAATCCAAACTTGGCATTCAACCGAGCATCCGTGTTCTTAAACAGTATTGCATAGGAGAACATCGTGTAAAGGAAAATTTTGTAAAAAGCCAAGCTGTTTCTATTTTTTTCAGGCCAAGCCAGGAAATGGCGTGTGTGCCTCCGGCCACATACCGAGATTAGCTGCATCAAAGGGGCATTGTTGGGGTCATTTGGGTCGAGCTTGGACTCTGCTGCCCACTTGGCCAACTTTTTCATGTCCGTTAGTCCTGATGTGCCAATAGATGAGATGGCATCTGCTCTCTTCAAAGCACTGAAAAGACAGTTGATTCCATGAGTCTGACTTGACCATAGAACGGTTTGCATCAGGACCTCAAATTCCAGAGACAGCATCACTTAAGGAAGCTATTATCCTCTATAAGATAAACTGTTATCATAAGGAAGAACTTTTGCCAGTTTTCTTAACTTGATGATCGCTATTAAGTATAAGGACAATAAAGAAATAGGAATAGAAGGAATGCAAATTTGACTAATTCCTACAACTCTGTCCAGTGCATAAAAGTGACCCCAGTCCCTGGATTCCGGCCAGTGAAGAGGAGCCTCTGTATCTGGTGCTGAAAGCCCACAAAGCCTCACATCCCAGGCCACTGGGGCCCACTATAGCTGAGGACAAATCAAAAGAAAAAGAAACAAAACCAACTATTTTTTTTTTTTTTTTTGACACAGTCTTGCTCTGTCAACCAGCCTAGAGTGCAGTGGCACAATTTCAGCTCACTGCAACGTCCACTTCCTGGGTTCAAGTGATTCTCATGCCTCAGTCACCCAAGTAGCTGGGATTGTAGGCATGCGCCACTATGCCTAGCTAATCTTATTTTATTTTTTGTATTTTTAGTAAAGTTAGGGTTTTGCCATGTTGGCCAGGCTGGTCTCAAACTTCTGACCTCAAGTGATCTGCCTCCCTTGGCCTCCTGAAGTGCTGGGATTACAGGTGTGAGCTACCATGCCCAGTCTAAAACCAACTGTTAAACAATGAACTTAAGCACCAGCTTTGGACGCATGGAAATCAAAGGAAGCCATGGTGGTCAGCAAGGTTGAGCTGGGCCTTATTAACAGTCCTGCATATTGTTACTCACATTGTGTTTTACCTTTTATCCTGAGGAGTGGAAAGCTTTAATCCCAGGAGATTTTTCAGATGCTAAACACAAGTGAAATGAAGGCAGACTTCTTACATTCAAAGGTATAGTCAAGCTTCCACTGGAAGTAGCTTCTGACTTAGAAAGCACAGAGCAGCCTCTCGTTTTTATTACATGGACATGGGTGGTCGGTATGGGGATGGAGAGGGCAGCAGGGGAACTAAACGAGCCCCATTCTGTTTTTCTACAAGTTGAGCATGACAGCCTGTGACTTGGAAAGTGTCTTCATGATGATCACAATGAATCCTTTTATTTTAGAGATGAGGAAACTGAGGCCTGGAATGGTGAAATGATTGATGAAGACACATCTACTGGGGAATGACAGAGACTCTGACAGAGGAAGACCCACAATCTACCACAGTGGGTAGGAAGGCCACAGGCTACCACAGTCCAGGCTTCATGGAGGGGCTGGCCTAGGGTGAGGCCCAGAGTGCCTCTCTTTTTTTCTGCTTAGACTCAAGGATCTAGCAATCAAGGGAGGAGGCTGGAGAATGGGAACTTTCATGTAAACAGCAGATACTACACCAATCATCATTAGTAACAAATCTTTACTCAGGGCCAAATACATACAACTGTGATGCTGTGCACCTCCCCATCTGTAAAATAGGGGAAAGGATACCCCCTAGAGTTACTGTGAAGATTAAGTTATTTTCACTGTATCTAATAATGATAAACACTTAATATTTGTTAGGCTATTAATATTTTACTTTTTGGACTAGAGGTTGTTATAAACATTTTTTGTTATCTTAAGAATAAAAAACTCTTGAAAATACTGGCACGGGACAATAAAAGGAAAGAATATGATATTGCAAGCTTTCTCTCCCCTTGGGTATCTTTAATGCTAATACTGACATTGCTCATCAATTTACTCTCACCACGTATTACCTCCGAAATCCAATGTTCTGCTGTGACAGTGGAGGGATTAAAGGTATCCCGTTTTCTCCAATGGCCCATGCCACACTATGAGATACTTTCCCTGAGGTCATCAGAATCAGCTGGTTACTGCCGTCAGCTTCAAATGAGAAGGGCACTCCTAAGGAAACATCAGATTAAACAGGATGCTGTTTAGAAACAGGGACTGACCTTAGTCCTGTCAAGAAAGCAGATAGTAGACAAATGGAACTTGGAGTGGGCAGGGGTGATGAAGATGGAGCACGTGATTTAAGCCAGTTTCACTGAATTTTCTTCAGGTGATAATGCTGACAGCTGCTCAGCTCTGTCTCTGATGGCAGAGAGTAATCGTTCCCATGAGTAGTCTCTAGTGGGTCCACCTGTGTACACATGCTTCACAGTTGTGTGACCTTAGACAAATTAGTTAACTTCTCTAAGCCTTAGTTTTTAATGTACAAATCAAGGATACTGGCTAGGCACGGTGGCTCACGCCTGTAATTGCAGCACTTTGGGAGGCCGAGATGGGTGGATTATCAGAGGTCAGGAGTTCAAGACCAGCCTGGCCACCATGGAGAAACCCCATCTCTACTAAAAATTAAAAAATTAGCCAGGCGTGGCTGTAAATTCTTGTCGGGCGCCTGTAATCCCAGCTTCTCCGGAGGCTGAGACAGGCGAAACGCTTGAACCTGGAGGCGGAGTTGGCAGTGAGCCGAGATGGCGCCATTGCACTCCAGCCTAGGTGACAGAGTAAGAATCTGTCTCAAAAAAAAAAAAATCAAGGATACTAATAGCACCTCCTTTGCAGTTATTTCAAAGACATTTATTTATTTAGACATTCAAGATACTTATCTGAGCTACTTCATGCCAGGCACTATTGCAGGCACTGAAAGTGGGGGACTATGTTAACTTCTCTTCCCGAGTCCACAAGGGGCGTGGTTTCAAAGGTAAGAACTTCCCAGCGCCATGCCTCCATCCACTTCCCCATCTGGGAACCTAGAGTTCTTTGTCTAACTTTCCCACACAGGCTAGGTAAAATTCCAGGTAAGCTTTCTTTGTTTAGAAAGCCCGCCAAAACCTCTGGTGGAGGAGGCTTTAATTGTGGGCCAAACAGCGAATCCAGCATTAGAGTCGAAGATCAATCACTCTAGAGGGCCTTTGAAAGAACTCTTCGTTGGAAAAGAACATGAATGGGGCAGGAATAATTTCGAAGTTAAAACTCCACTGCACCTTACCTGCCTGGATTTCTCTCTCTGGGATCTTTTCCCACAACTGTGTGGGAGCTCTCTCTACTTCTCTCTTTTTCTCTCTCTCTCTCTCTCAAATAAATCGCTCTCTGCAAAACTTTTTGGGTCCAATATTTGCTTGACGGCCGCCGCCAACGCCTCTTCCCCATTCCTGGGGCCAGGGAGCCCAAGAACCTCAGGACGCATCCCATCGGGGAGAGAGCTGAGTCCCCTCCCATCCGGTTACAAAGGTAGCAGTAAAGAAGTAAAACTGATAAGAATCCTTGTTCTAAAAATTGAGAAAGGAAAGAACTTCTGTTCTCACAGAGTTTATATTTGAGTCTGGGGGAGAAGCAATAGTAAGAGTAATAAGAGAAATACTTAGTATGTTAGAGACTAGTATGCAAGTGCTAAGGAGAAACAAATTAGGGAAGGTATATAGAAAATTTGTGCTTTGGAGGGTGGAGAGGGGAAAAACTTTGAGATGGGGTGGCCAGGGAAGCCTCAATGAGAGTGACTTTTGAATAAGTATCTGAAGAAAAGGAGAAGGTAGAGTAGAGGTGTACTATTTTGGGAAAGAGCATTGCTGGCAGAAGGAACAAGTGCAAGCACCCTAAGATGGAAGTGAGGAACAGGAGTTAAGTTAATATTTGCAAAGTACTTACACAATGCCTGGCAAATAGTGATCACACAACACATGTTAGTTATTACTAAGCTGTTGTGACTACAGTAAAGTCGCACTGATTTGGCCTCTACCAATTGGAATTTAATGGTAAAAACTCTGGGTAGTTTATTTAATCAACTAAAAGAGGAGATTATCAAGCACTAAATGAAGTAACTCTAGATCTTTCCTTCATATTGAACATCCTATCTTGATCTTAAAAATAACCTTATAAGACATTAAAGGAGTTATTATTATATCCATTTTATAAATGAGGAAAATGATATTCAAAGAAGTTACATGACTACCAGAATCTCACAGCTTGCCAACATCAGAGCTAGAACTAAAGCCTAAGTCTCTAGACTTTTAGACTGAGGATAGAATTTGGGCCTCAAATAAATAATGCAGATAAAATTTCAGGTATAAGTCATGATAAAAAAAATCAACAGACACATGAGGAAGCAAGCCACCATAAACAAGAGGCAACAGAATCAGACCAATAAGCCGATAGGTATTGGAATGATCAGATACCAAATGTTTAAGAATATTTTAAATATATTTAAATAAATGAATGAATGAATATATAAGAAATGAGAGTCTAAGGAAAGGACAAAAAGCTGTCAGAACTGACCACACTGATTGGGAAAGAACTAAACATAATTTCCAGAGTTGAAAAATACAGTAATTGGGAGGAAAAATAGGATTCGTTCCAATACTTAGAGACAGCCAAAAGGTGAATTCATGGTTTGGAGGACAAATTTGAAGAAATTATATAGACTGTAGCAGTGAAAGAAAAACAGCAAACGTAATAAAGAATGATTAAGAAACATGGAGGAAGGAGTGATAAGATCCATCATATAGTCAATTGGAATTGTAGAAGGAGATGAGAGAATATTTATTTCAAACTTTTTGGGCTTATGAATAACACTGTGATGTACATTTTTATGCACACATCTTCGTCCTCATTTCAAATTAGTTTCTTAGGAAAGATTCCTAGAAATAAAAGTAAGGCACCAATTATTTTTCAAGGCTCTTAATTCACACTGCCAAACTACTTTGTAGTTGCAGAGTTACATGCACTTACATCGTCACCAATGGTATATAAAAAACAACTTGGCAAAAGTTGCATAGCATCTTGTTTGAATTTGAATTTTTGATATCAACTTTATAATTCTCTTGTCTGAGAAGTGAAACAGATATACACATTCAAAACTGACAGTGAAACAGTGAGCCATTGCAGATGTTAGATTTTCATACCACTTCCAACTCCCTCGTGGTCCAGTGTCACATGCTGATTACTGCTAAACTCCACTTCCTCAATAGGAGCCCTTCCAGTGACAACAGTAGTCTCAGGAATAGGCAGAAATACTTCTGCTAGCAAGGTGGGACCACTATGTCCAATAGTTTCATAGACCTGAAAACCAGAGAAGGGAAACAGCCAATAAAAACAACCATAGCGTGCACTCACGTCAGATAATCAGTCCATGTTGTTAGTAGTTGTGCTGGTCACTGTTCCAGCCCTAAACGCTCATCTCAGCCTGGGAAGTTGAGTCGTGTTACTATGGTTTCCATGGAGACGAGCTTACACCTGTTTGTGGTCAAGTTGTTGACACCCTGCTTTTCTTGCCTGGACTAATCTTCTGGGTAGGGAGGTAAATCAAAGTAGCAGGCAAGGACAATTGTTTTTATTCCAAACCAATATACAGCTTGCTTTGAGAATGGGCCTCCTCCTTTTCTGGACTCAGGTTGTTTTCAGACAGCAATACTATTGGGAGGAATGGGTGGGACAGCCATGCCCCTGGATGGCTTGTTATTTGCACCAATCTCCAAGTCAGTTGGAAAAGCTCCATATGCAGAAGCACTCCAGAGTGTTACATTTTTAGTAAATCTATCAAATTATTCTCTTTCAGACCTTATTTTATTTGTTATCTGCTGAAACCCCTTATTTTTCTCAGATCTTCTCTTAGATGGAGCCACTTAGGCCACCAGCAGCTCTGCTACAGATCACTGTGGTGTGTCTCATTATGATGTTATTACCGTGAGGTGAAGGGCTCCATTGCAGGGCAACCATGATTCAAGAATACACAATCCAGCCTCAGTTGGACCCTTGGCTCCATTCGATCCCCTGTATTCTTGGCACATCTCACTTTTGTGGTAATATGACATAATATTCCATAGTTCTCCTGGCTTCTTTCCTGTGTTTTATTCTTTCTTTACTTGAGGTCTCTGTGACTGGTTTACAGTTTTTGAAAAAATGCTGATTTGACTACTTTTATTTCTACTAATTAATCTTTATATTTTTCTTCTTGTGTAATAATCCCCCTCTAATCAGTATTTTCCACTTATAACTTGAATGCACAAAGATGACAGACACCACTGATCCTCTTTGTCTACCCTCCCTTATAGGGCATATGATCTGAACTTTTGTTTTTTGAGACGGAGTCTCCTTCTGTTACCCAGGCTGGAGTGCAGTGGCATGATCTTGGCTCACTACAACCTCTGCCTCCTGGGTTCAAGTGATTCTCCTTCCCCACCCCCCAAGTAGCTGGGATTACAGGCTCCTGACACCACGCCCGGCTAATGTTTGTATTTTCAGTAAAAATGAGGTTTCACCATGTTGGGCAGGCTGGTCTCGAACTCCTGACCTCAAGTGATCTGCCCGCCTTGGGTCCCCAAGTGCTGAGATTACTGGCATGAGCCCCGTGCCCAGCCTGATCTGAATTCTTGTCCAGAAGTGAGGATGAAGTGGTGCCTGGCTACCGCCCTGGCCTTGCCTCCCCAGTATCCATTGTGGTCTCACCTCCCCAGCTCACCTTTGCAAGATGGCTGGCTGAGTGTGGAGGGGCTCTGGGTCAAAGACAAAGGCAAAAATTGCACAGGTACTGAATTCAGGACCCCAGACTTAATATCACTGTGAGCTATTCTAATAGGCAGGATTTCAGCAGGAAACCTGTAAGTGGCACACTTAAAACACACTCTCCAAATTAATCTTTATCAGTGCAGGAATAATAATATACCACAGATCTATCACCCCCTGCAGTTTCAATGATCATATGTTATGAACATCTTATTTCATCTATACTTTCAACCATTCCCCTCCCATCTAGTATCTTGAATCTAGATATCATTTCATCTGTAAATATTTCAATATGTATCTTTAATAGGTAATATTTTTAAAAGCATAATTATAATATTGTTTTTTTTTAAGGGAGAAAGAGAGAGAAAAAGAGGGAAAAAGAGGAAAAAAGAGGGAAAAAGAGAAAAAGAGGGAAAAGAAATATTACTTCATTCCTAAAATGGGTATCAATAATGGCCGATCAATATTTTGTGTGTTTAAAGTGGATAATGTATATTTTGTGTGTTTAAAATGGAGAGCTCTATTGAGTTTATTTGTTCTGGTTCTGAGTTCAAGTCGTGGATATCATTATCAATTTTCTGTCTCGTTGAATCTAAATCTCATTATGGGTCTTATGTATCTGGGTGTTAAGATCTCTTATTATTACATTAATCCTTTTACCCTTGTATCCTTGTAGCTTTGAAATCTATTTTATTAATTGTGAGAATTGCAACTCCTGCTTTTTATTTATTTGTTTTTTCTCTCCATTTGGTTGGTAAGTTTTTTTCCAACCCTTTATTTTGAGTCTTTGTATATCTTTAGATATACCGTTAGATTTTGTCTGTATCTTTTGATTGGGGGATTTAGTCGATTTAAATTTAGGGTTACTGCCATTTGATATTAACTGGCTATTTTATCCTTTTGTTGATGTAAATTCTTCTTTATGTTAATGCTCTTTACTTTTTGGTATATTTTTAGAAAGGCTCATACTGGTTGTTCCTTTCTATGTATAATACTTCTTTTAGAAGTTCTTGTAAAGCAGGCCTGATGGTAGTAAAATCTCTAAGTACTTGCTTGTTCCTGAAAGATTTTATTTTTCCTTCAATTGTAAAGCTTAAATTGGCAGGATATGAAATTCTGGGCTGAAAGTTCTGTTCTTTAAGCATATTGAATATTGGCCCCCACTCTCTTCTAGCTTGTAGGGTTTCCGCTGAGAGATCTGCTGTAAGCCTAATAGGCTTCCCTTTATGGGTAACCTGATCTTTCCCTCTGGCTGCCCTTAATATTTTCTCCTTCGTTTCGATCCTGGTGAATCTAATGATTATGTGCCTTGGGGTTGGTCTTCTTGACAAATATCTTTGTGGTGTTCTCTGTATTACCTGGGGTTGAATAGTGTCCTGCTTTGCTAAGTTGGGAATATTTTCCTGGATAATGTCCTGAAAAGTATTTTCCAGCTTGAATTCATTCTCTCCATCACATTTAGGTACACCGTTCAAACATATATTAGGTCTTTTCACATAGTCCCATATTTCTTGGAGACTTTGCTCATTCCTTTTTATCCTTTTTTCTCTATTCTTGTCTTGTCGTTTTATTTCATTAAGTTGGTCTTCGACCTCTGATATCCTTTCTTCTGCTTGATCCATTCAGCTATTTAAGCTTGTACATATTTCACTAAGTTCTCGTGTTGTATTTTTCAACTCCATAAGTTCATTTGTATTCCTCTCTATATTGTCTATTCTTTTCATCATTTCATCGAACCTTTTTTCAAAGTTCTTAGTTTCTTTACATTGGGTTAGAACAAGTTCCTTTAACTCCCAGAAGTTTCTTATCATCCACCTTTTAAAGCCTACTTCAGATAATGGATCACAGTCCTTTTCCATCAGGACTTGATCTGTTGCTGATGAGTTCTTTTCCATCAGGGCTTTTTCCCTTGCTGATGAGTCCTTTTCCATCAGGGCTTGTTCCGTTGCTGATGGGTTCTGATTTCGAGTATACTTGGCCTTCTTAGGCTGTTTTTTTTCCCTTCATTGTAGATGAACCGCCTTTCTAATTAGGTTTCTGAGTCGACGTCCGATTTATTGATTCCCAGTGCTGGGATCCGAGCAACCCACTGTGGCAGCCTAAATAGCAGCGATAAGACTGATGGTGCTCTTCTGCCCGGGAATCTCTGGTCTGTCTTCCCTCTTGAGTCCGCAACAAGCGGCTCTGACTTCCTGGAGCTCCGAACTCCAGTCAGTAGGGGAAGCAGTCCCGTTTGTTCTGCATGAAGAGCTGCTGCGCCGAGACGCTGGCAAAACTGCTGCGGCAGCCACAAGAGTCGCGCTGGCGACCCGTGGGGCTCCTCCACTGGGAATCAGCTGATCCGTGAGTGACGAAAATTCGTCTAAAAGTGTGGCGTCGTCTCGTTCTCTGAGCTTTCACTGGGAGCTACAATCCCGAGCTGTTAGTGATCGGCCATCTTGGATTGGTCTCATAATATTGTTTTTATAGTAATTCCTTAATAACCTCAACTATTGGTAAATTTCAAATTTCCTTGAGAGCCTCAAAAAATTCTGTAATATTTTGTTTGAATCAGGATCAAAATGTATTCCATATGTTATAATTGACTGATATGTTCCTCAAGCCTCTATTTATTTACAAGTGACCCTTCCTCTTTTAAAACATTTTCTCTATGTTTTTATTGGTTCACAACTCTGACATGACAAGGAGTGCTATTAGTTGTTTGACCCAACACTCTTAAGAGCCTGTAATTTTCTATAATCTTACATAGCTTAAAGAACATGTAGTAGGTTATCATTTATTGCACTGGAGACCTTCATTTGACCTCTTAAATTACAAACTCATTGGTATGACATCTCATCCCAAGAAAAGTATGTGTTTTCTTTCATTTTGTTTGAAATGAAAGGCAATCATGTACTCTAGGGGAATGGAGGGTTTGCTAGTTGATGTTACTGTCTCAGAAGATAATTATCAGATTTTTTAATAAGAAAAAAAACAGATTCCATCTGACAAAGTCAAAAACATCCAGGATGTCCCCAGTCTTTATTTTTTACTCCCTTAAGATAGCAGAAGTTCTTTTAAATGCTAGGAAGAAATGCTATTTTTAAAAATTAGGAAATGGGTACTTTGGGCTTTAAGTAAGTATTTGTAAGTAGATCTCTGTATAATTTAGTTTAATTTTTGTTTTCTCTCAAAGCCAGGGGTTCTCATCATCAGCACTATTGACATTTGGGGCCAAGTAATTTTTTGTTGTGGTGAGTTATATGTTGTTGGATGCTTAGCAGCACCCCTGGCCTCTCACTCATATGTGCGAGCTTAAAAAGCTGATCTTATGTAGGAAGAGAGTAAAATGATGGTTATCAAAGGCTCAGAAGGGAGGAGGTAGAGAAGGAGGATGAAGAGAGGTTGGCTAATATTACAGAAATATAGTTAGAAGGAATAAATTCTGGGCTGGATGCGGTGGCACATGCCTGTAATCTCAGCTACTCAGGAGGCTAAGGCAGAAGAATCGCTTGAACCCAGGAGGTGGAGGTTGTAGTGAGCTGAGGTCACAACATTGCACTCCAGCCTGGGCAACA